AGAAATAATTGATTCAAACTTTATCATCTGTACATAATATAATAACAACTTTAGAAATACTCCCCGTTCAATATAAAATAATACCCTATTACATAACGTACTTGAATGCAAGGTTAGAAGGAAACTTCTGCTATTTATGTACCAATGGAAATATTCCTCACAATCCTGAGGTCTTCCAAGGTCTATTGTATACATTTTCTGTGCCATCGATGCAAACTTTCCATACTAGTATTGTAACAGGGTGCACAAATAAAACAGTTACAAAGTGTAAACTGAAGGCTTATTCAATAAACAAAACATAAATTAAAACATTGTTTCAATAGAGAATACATTTCAGTTGTTGTTTCCCAATTTCATAATTCATACAATGATGATGAAATTAAACTATTTACTACTATTCGTAGCCTATTGTAAAAATTTACTGTTATCGATTAAAGTTATATAATAGCAGATTATAACAGTGTGTGAATTTAAATACGATTTTTACCATTTACGATTATATAATCAGTAGCGATGACCTAGGTTAACTTTTCGAAATGTTCGATCTAGTTTACATATTTTATCGTGTTTCCAGATCACTGGAACTCACGCTCATAAATAACAGCATCATCTATGGAGGGTTGAAACGCACAAAGGACTAATAAAACAGGTGCATGTGGTTATTTATTTTTAAAGGTTGTACCTTTTTTTCGAGGGGTTGTCTGTACCAAAAATTATATTCCAGGCTAACGAGCGGCGCAGGAAATGAGAAGGGTTACGGGACAAATTACCTTATTTTCCCGACGGATGGAATTTACCGGTAATGTCGCAGACGAATGAATGGGGCTTCGAGTTCGCCTCGACAGAAATAAAAAAAACTAGAAAAAAAAATTGCAACGCTTAAATAACATCGATTCGCATTTCCCGGACGACGTCGTAATCCGTTCTCTTCGATTTGCGTTTGTTACGTTTCCGATGGTCACGCGACATTTATGAGTATGGAATAAAAGAAACGGCAACAACATACATGACGGCAGTGTTTTGGCGATGTGATGCAATTTGAATGATACAATGTCCACGTCATGTGTACAGCAGCAGGCAGTGCAGTAATACCGCATGCAACATTGATAAGGGCCGCCCCCAACCCCCCAGGCCTCGATACTACTGCAAATTGATTAATTAGGGGTTGTCAGGATCGGTCGATTAATTAATTAAATCTAATTAACGATTAATTATCTCTGTACTATCAGGAACAGAAGTCGGCTTATTTTATTAGTTTAATTGGTACCACATCAGCACCAGTAGTTAAGCCTTATCCTTTGCAGAGTTCCAATTTTAGGTAAGGATAACTTCAAATACTTGGAAAATTTGTTTCCAGACGAAACTGTGCATCAATAATAAAACTCTGTGAATGTAGCTTCTTCGTAAATCTTCATACCGCGTATGCATCAAAATTCCATTACAATATTGCTGTAAACAGCTTTAAATTCATTTGAAATGAAACGAGTATTACAAACAGGTTTGACTTATTCTATTAGTTTAATTGGAGCTTCATCTTCTCTGTCTGGTGGGTTGTCAAAGGACTGGAATTATCTGAGGAACAAAGGCTCTCTGAACGTGGCATTACTTTAGTTGATTTGTTTGGAAAATATTTACGAAATTTGATGAGAGGACCAAATGGCTTCAGTTTATTCGAGCTGTATACAAATGCAAAGGATTCGCAAAAAGCACGCTATCAGAAGAATAAACACGTTCAATATTAATAAAGTCGGCAGAGACACGACAGAAACAACGAATATAAAAAAGACGAAAAGTATACTAGAGGTAGACTCGAGAATGGCAGTCCTGGTTCAGTGGAGTTGATAAAAGCCTAACGAGAAATGTCGCTCAGATCCAGCTCGGAAAGCCCCACCGGGTCACAGCTTGTATCTAAACACTTTAGCAAATAGCTTATATGCGATTACTCCGACGAAAGCACGCTTATGGCTCTGTTAGTCCTGTCAGCCGAATCACAAAATAACAAAAAAAAATAGAGCTCACAGGGATGAGAGGAAACGGGTACTACGATCAAAAAAGAAACAAGCTTTAAAAATCATTTTCGCCTTCATCGCAACTTTGTTTCTCTAAAATTTCGATTAAAACAAAGGCAACTTATGAAAAGTTTTATTACTTCGGATCAACACAACTCTTTATTTAATTTCTTTCCGTTTCGGACACACGTCTTGATGACTGTGTGATATAAATGAATTAAGGAAAAGGCGAAAATTTAATCGAGTTATAAAAATTTAAGCGAGGATAAAATTGTGCCGTAAAGTGGATAAATTAAATTCGCTGGAACGCGTGAAGTGAGATTATGAAACAAAAGGTGAAAAGGTTCGAATTGAACGCAAACAGAAAGAGCTTCGTATGCAGGTGGGGTGTATTATTCTGCATGCCTGATACGAATCCTCATCATCATCAACATCATCGTCGTGGCTGTGTGATCGTAAAAGTGATGGGCCGTAATTTGCATACGCGGTAAACAGTAATTCATTTAATTCCGCTGTAAATCATGCAAATTACAGGACACGCGTTCGCAGGAGAACGTATGTTCATTCGGGCCTGAATCACGGGGAGACCAAGAATATTACCTGAACCCAACGACGCTGGTTACACAAAAAAAATAATTAAGAAACTCCGAGAATAAGTAGGTGCTGTTTCCTGATATCCAATGGTTGAGAGCTTCCGCCTTTAAACTATACAACGGTTCTCCTCTCCAGGTGTATCGACAGAAAAGCTTCCTGCGACCTAATTGTTTTCTTCGCTTCCCTTTATAGTCGTCACCGCCGTTACTTCATAATTAAACCTTTTATGAATGCTTCAAGTGTGCCAACGAACTTAACAAAAGCGATAGGTTACAAGGAAATTAATTAATTGAAGCAAAAGCACCACCATTTATATCGATATCGATTCACATCAATCATCAGACCTTTCAGAAAAATAACAAACCGTTGCAGTAGCTTTGATTTTCTCATCAGCGATTTTATTATACGAACATCTATCACAATAAAGATTTACGATCCTGAATAATAAAAGCAATAAAAGAAAAACAGAAAATGAATCAGAGCTAAATAAACATCAGCAAGTGGTAATTCAGTTGGCAAATTGAAAGCCCGAAGATCATCGAGCAATTTTAATAGACAACACATTGAGATTGCGTTCGGTTATAAATAAACGAACATGCAATAACAGTTAATCAAAACCGAATTACGTAACGTCTCGAACAAATGAGTTTCCCGGCGGAGTTTATTCATTCGCTTCGTTTATTCAGAGAAGTGCCGGAATCCGCAGAGAAACAAACGAAAATAAAATTAATAGAATAGTCCCAAGAGTCGCGAAGAATATAAAAAAACACTATGATGATGCACAAGAATAACAACTTAAATGAACAGCTGCAAATTCAAACAAAACACTTGTTTTTGGTGTTAAGCAAAACAAACAGAAACTGCATACATCCTTTAGCAACAATGTGGAGTTGTTAATACAACGTGCTGTTTCGAATTGCAGCATTAGATTGCACAAATGTTTTTCTTTGTGCATGCTCTCGGAATAGAATAGAATTTGATCTATATTGTGAAATCTCTGTCGACTCTTACCATATGCTATTTTAGCTTTATATGGGACAGCTGTCAACTGCGTAGAAAAAATGCTCTGTGTAGAGTGGTATAATACATTTGTGGTGTAAAAAGTAGATGTAATATTGAAATTTAGAATGTAGTCTGGATGTGATTTACTGTTTTTATATGATTTCAATGGTTCATAAAGAAAAACGGTTCAAGGGTTAAAGCCCTTAAAAAGAAAATGGGTTCGGGTTCAGAGAAATAGTAGACTCGCAGTGCAAACCGGTTCTGTACTCTGGCGCAGTGAAGCTTTCCATGACTCGCGTATAGATTACATAAACATCATGCAGAATATATCGTATCAAATACTCAATAATAATTCTTATTTCAGAGTATCAAAAAAAAAACTAAAAAATATGAATACGTATCAATGAAATTTTTGTATTTCGAATATCTACTTTTAAATATTTAATATTCGAAGCACTTAGGTAGTACAACATACTATATAGTTAAGCAGGTCAGTTGATGCAATCCTCGTAGCTTTTAAAAGCGCATCACATGGATTTTATCACTAAAACATTGCCATTTTGATTGAGTACGCCATTCGGCGAAATGAAGTCGTAAATGTTAGGTAGCCATCATAAATCGAACAAACAAATGTGTTTAAGAGGTAGAAGTACATGTGAATGTTTCATTTTCAACAAAAATGTTCTCTGCAATGTTGTAATTTTTTATGGTTGACTTGACGTATGTGTAACATGTTATGTAAGATTAAGTACAAATTGGCTGAGTCAGTGCATTGTTTTGATAATGCGAATTAGTCAATTAGCAGTACACGTTTGGAACGAGTTAGGTGGTCAGAACACGAAGAGGCTGGAGCACGCGGCGAACAATTGAAAGGACCAGAATGTAGTGTATACAAACAATTGCCACCCACTTGCATAAAAAGAGAAGCACGTGTTGTCTGCGGCAGCCTCTCGGTCAAGAACACTTGCTAATTATGCAACGGCGTCCCGTGAACGCGGGACCATTAAAATGATGTTCACCAACCCCGTCGGGCAAGGATGAGCTCAGCAAAGGTAAACCCATGGTTTAATTACGTACGAGTAGCTTTGTCGTCGTCTTATTGCCTGATCCCGGAGACGGTGAATGGAATGTTTTTGAAAAGATTTACGAGGTAATTGAATGCTTTACGACGTATGAAATCGTAGCATTTTAATGGCAATTGTTCGGTCGATAAAGTGAATCCTTTAAGAAGGGAAAACATAACCGGAGTGAAATCCGACCGGAGCCGTAAAAGCAAACGTAACAAGAAACCAGTTAACCGGCCATAAAGTCCACCTTTGTTTATTAAAGCTGGCTGCTGCTTCTTGTCATTTGTCGATGGTAGCTCTTTTAAAGATTATTCAATCGACTACTTACCGCTTGATCGGGAGCATGAGCGTTAGGAGTCGTCGGCTGGGCAGGCCTGCTGGGGAATCCCTGGAAAGAGAAACAAAGAAATAAAATCAGTCCTCGATTTTGATTGAAGGTATTATAGTAATTGCAGAATATATCTTAATTCTGCAAATCCAGATTACGGAATTATGGGTGATCCTGCGGAGCTGTCATTTGCGGGATTTTCTCCTAATTCGCATTAATCTGCGACACGGTACGCCAATATAGGCTATGATAGATTTCCCTTGTAGTCCGAACCACGGACAGAGGATAATTGGTCGCATTTACCGGGATGAGGTTTCGGTGATTAATTAGTAATAGAGTGCTTACCTGGTGTTGGTTTGATGGCGGCTGATGAGACGGGCTCGGCGGTAAACCAGGTCCAGGCGAGTGACTTGGAGGTTGCGAGGGTTGCGGGGACGGCTGGCTAGCAGGAACTGACGTCGGCGGCGGGCCAGGACTGCCAGGACCAGTTACCGGAGGTCCGGGCCAACCGCCTCTTCCCTCCCCGTATCCAGGACTCGGGGCGGACAACCCACTGTAGGCAGGAGACAACTGCAAAAGAGCATCAGCGTTAAAAAAAAAATAACAAGAAGTAGATACATCAGTCTGTTTGTGGATCATGATCATGCGGAGGATAGGCATCAGGTAGTCGATAAATTCGTATTTACGAAGTTGACGGCTCGGAATTGGAATGACAATGGGTTGTGACTGACCTAAGCCAACTCTCGTCCCGATTAGATAACTGCTGAAACGAGTAGCCAACTGGCAGTAGCTCGCAGCGGTATAAGTCATGAGGAATTAGTTCGGGTCGGAGGACCACCATCCCATCCGAACCCCCGATCATCATTCGCAACGACCTGCTCTTGCATTACCAACAAAGCCGAAGCTTCTGAATTAATTCCAATTTCATTAAAAAGACCGGAGCTGCTGGAAACCACGTGTTGCTCGATTTAAAATTCCTCAGAATAAGGCTACCCACACATGCCCACAACACAAACATACGCACACACATACACTCGATCACGGAGTAAATACAAAAATCTTTCATTCATAATATTTATGTTTCAGGTCGTGCGGATCAGTCAGCATTTCCCGAAGTCTCGTTTGGGTAAACAGTCTAGCAATCTATTTTTACCTTTCGTTTTCCGCTAAAGCACTTGTCAATTCGATACGTATACATCTCTGAATCTCCGAACACGATACGCGCTTTTCCTCACAAACTGTGGAAAATCAATGCGAACGCGCGCGCATTCTGCTTTACCTTTACATCAAAATATTTGATTTTTACTAATAGCAGTCATTCAAAATATACGATTAATTCGTAACAGTTTCCATTTACCATATCTGAAGTACTAATTAATATTTTTTAAACGTAATTTGTTAAAAATGTATATCAAGAAAAAAGTAATTTGATTAACATTTTAATTTCGGAGAACTATCATGAACTTAAAAAGAATTTGTGTATGAGTATGTTCTCACTAACATATTCGCAAATAAAAAAAATGTATGCGTTACAGGTTTTGCGAGTAAACAAAGCTGGGAGTGCAAAATGCACATCAAACAAAAGATACTTATCGGGAATAAAGCGTAATTAGATGAATGAAACAATCTGGGCCAAAGTATAGCGCACAATCTAATTCCGTCTACAAAAGGGAACATTCGCGTCGCCGGAAATGTATATCTGGAACACAAATGGTGTCCAATTAGTGTTTCCAAATTGTTTGCGCAAACTTGTGCTCGCCCTTTAAAAGCGTACGCGCCTCGGGGCAATTATGCTAAAACTCGCTTTTTGCGGCTCAAAGATCCTCCTCTATTATTTAAAATACGAATCGGTTTTCGCGTTTAAAGTGTTTCCTGCGAACGGATCTTAAAAGGAACATTTTACTTTGCATATAATCATTCTTGTAATATTATTTATATGTATTACGTCTCACTTTCTTTATTGGCATTAATATTACCCTTTGTTCCACCACGTTCAAACATCAATCTTTATTGTGCACTTTTCATAGATAAAACATGAATTATTTCATATCAAGGACGTAAATTAATAACATGATTCTGATTACAAAACTTGCTTCAATACGAAAATATCAAAATTTCACATAACACGGCAGAATAACGTACAGAATATATGAAATGGAATTGATTTCTCGTGATTAAACTTACGGATTATCGAAGGTTCTAAATTGCACCTTGCATAAGTGCAGTATAAACTGCTAGAAAATAATATTTTGCGGTCTTCTTCTGCCATTAAGTTTCACTAACATTTGAATTACGGGTAGGGGACGGCTTCGTGATTCGTAATGCACGAAGTTTTCCTTTGTTGCGCAACGTGGAGCCGACCTTGCTGCTTCTTTTCAATTTAAACAAAAAGTGCTCCTTTGATGTACATTGGAAGCGTGTAACTTGATGTTGTTGGATGCTATTGAAAAGCGCTAATAAACTGGATGTCAATGTTCAAATAACTACGAGAGAAGCGCACTTGGAGGATTCTGTTCCGCTTCAATAGTCCAATAAAATAAGACAAAACATGGAGCATCACAACTTTTCATCCTAAAAATCAAACGGAAACTTAACGTCTGATGCGACGTTTAATTCTCTTATGGGAATGGGATTCAGACGGCTCAGGCTTAAACTTTGATACATCGCAGCAAAGTTCGTGATTTGTGTGAAAGGGAGGGAAGCAGTCCCGTGTATTTGGTAGAAGCTGAAGTGTTAAGTGGATATTGGATTACGATCGTCTCGCAATGTTTGCTTTCTTTACTGTTTAATGCTATTAATTAGTTTAGTCGCATTACTCAATATATTGTTACGATATATAAAGGGCTTCAAATACAAATGTATACTAGTGGTTATATCGAATATCAATGCCATTCGCGGTTAATTATCCGAGGTGCATCAATCAACGAAATAGTTGCGAGCGTACGCGAAGTAATTGCGTCCATTAAACTCAATCCCCCCGCGCTTTCAATGGAATTATACTAGGGGAAACATATTAATTACCGGACAGGCTGGACCCCCCATGTGTGGGAGTGAAAAAGACGGGACGATAAATTCGACGAGTGGAAAGGGAATGGGAACGGGAACGGGAGCGTCCGTCCGGCGTTACACAGCGAGAATTAAATTAGCGTTTCGGTTCCGGCAGCAAAACCGTGTTTCTCTCCTCTTACCCCTTCGATTCCTCGTTTGCTCCATTTCCAAACATGTTCCGGCAAACACGAAAACATACCGCCCCTGAACATTTCAACCCCCAAGCCCAAAAACGATAAATATTATACAACGTGCGGTTCCATCGAATTAATGCCGCCGCACATTCCATTAGCGTCACGTAACGCACTCTATGTGCAGATGGAATCGAATGCGTTCGCTAATTTTTGTTTCATATCGTTCAATATTCATTTACAAACTATCCGATTTGTGTATTCAAGCAAATTAGATCCAGTTTGGTAATTAATAAAATTTTCTACATTCCCTTTACAGTTATTAGCTTCATTAATCAAATTGATTAAATTCTTCATGGAAATGATTTCATAGTAAACTAAATTGATTTTATTTACTCTTGTTAAATGTGGATACAATGAAAATATTCATATTTGCATCTGAATCGTGAGCGTCATTTTTGTCATCAGAGCTGCGCTTGTTATCTTCGCTGCAAGCTCTCCTTTGAATCCTCAGGAATGCCGACGTAAATCCCTTTAAACATTCATTTAAAGAGGAACCTTCGAACCACAGTCGTCCTTCTTTAAAGCGATATCGTTAAAGTAGAAATATCGCTCGCCATATTTCCACCACATTCATTAATCGTAACAATTTGAAAAGTACAACTCGGCCAACCTCCACAGATTCGATTAAAACGAACGAGACTCTTTTTACACTATTCCCGGAAAATTCATTTCGATCAAAATATTGCAAGCGTTTCCGAAGAAGTGCTCCGACTCGAAAATGAGGAGCTTCATGAACTCTACCAAAGGAAGTTTGAAGGATCACGTCCATTTATATACGGATGTATCCCTCGCTTATACCTATATATATATATTTAAATGCATGTGAGAGAATTCCAGGTTCGGCAAGTGTGTGCTCAACGTCACGGCCCGTCAGCTGATTGCATAATAACAAAGTAAAATGGGCGGGCGCGCACACTGATCATATGTCGGTTCAAGTTCAAGGGCGGTCCTTGCATGTTTCTCGGCGGTTTCGATGACACAAAATATCAAAAGCGAACAGAAACAAACAAATATACGGGTTGTTGGAGGGACAGGAAAAGGGAATGTATATAACACGGTGAAACTGCGAAATATCTATTAATGGGATTCCAAATACGACCGGTTTATTTATGGAAGCAATTTACTACTATTCATGTGGAGTAGTGTGTAGTGAAACGGGATGGACGCGTTTATAGTCAGGCCAAGTTCGGCGAAGGACCAGCCCAACCGGCCGTCAGAAGAGGATGCATATACAATTCCGTGGTTCATTTTAGGTTCGACGAACGGAATTCATAAACCCGGATGATATGATCACATAACTTGTAGTGATCACATGGTTTTGGTTGCTGAGGAGATGTAACGCGTGGTGGAGGAGGTGAAGAGGTGGCATTACGATTCAATACGTCCTTAAGAGGTCTGCCAGTTTCGCAATTACTTTAATGAAAATTACTCGGCATGCAGGCGCCGCACAATTTAGTCCGTGATTGGCCAGCAGCAACATACGTGCCTATTAGAAACAGATGATCCATTTGATCATAAACCACCTGGGGCCCCAGCATCTCACAAACCACTCACTCTATTCCAATCAATCAACGCACAAAAAACTAATAACTTTCTGAAAAGTATACTTGCGAAATAAAGCATTACTTTGAAGATTGTCCAAAAAAAAAGTCACATACTAATATGAGAACAGTTTTTGCAATACAAGAAACATGGAGAAAAATTGAAAATCTTTAGTGGGAGCTAAAATTTGATTTGCTAACATCGAACATAAAGTGATGTTTAAATAAATTAACTTAAAAGTCTGAATTTTACAGTCAGGGATAACCTAAAGAAAGATATGCAATTCTCTAAAAGTAGTTGCTTACCACTATAGAGAAGAGGTACAATGATCCCGCTGTAGCTAACCACTAAAGAGAGAAGGCTAAACTTCGTCTACGTTAAAGAGAGAGGCACAGAGAGTATGTTCCTCCAAATGTAGAGCCACTCCCTAAAAAGAAAAATACAGAGTAAGCTCCACCAAATTTGGTCCAGCATTAAAGAGATACAGTGCATTTTTATGGACTAAATCATTGAACCTAACAATTGAAAAAAGATTTACCTATCAAGCTAATAAGATTGATCAGCTGTCAAAAGTTACAACTGAAGACTCCTAAGAGGTAAACAATAGTACCTACATATGATTAATACAAAAATATCATTTCGTGCAGTTTTTACAAAGATGTAAATCAACGTCATCAACTCGCCTATTTCAAAATGGTGGTTATATAGAAGACTATACTGGTGAGGAAACTCCAGTTACTCCCAAAGGGTTCGCCCTATCCACCAAGCTAAATTTAGCAACTAAAACAGCAAACCCCCTCCACCGTCCCAAAGAGATGAGGACATAAAAACAACACGAAGATGAAACTTTATAATGAGCGAAGTTCAGAATAAATAAAAATCACGTATATGTCGGTGTCGCCTTTCATGAAGAGACGTTCCTAATTAATGGCGAGGAGTAATGAGACTCCAGTACCGGTAATGAATGCTCCAGTTCAAATTGAACATAGTCTCCGTCCGCACAAGTTAACTACACGCAACGGGTTACGCAATTGTTGCATAAGCGATACGTCTTATCGGGTCGCGGGGCAGCCGGATAGCGATTATCGAATTGGCAGCTTGTGTGAAACCATTGCGGCAACTTTTCGAGTTAAACGCAAAATCTACGATATACTTGGAAACCCTGCGCTGTTCAAAAGGTAAATAAACAAATTTCAATTGACACTTGACTATTCGAAACTAAAAACAAACCAACATATATAAAATTATATCTCCTATCGAAGCTTATTATCCTCTTACAGTATCGTTTATTCATAAAAAAAACATAAATATTAACAAATTTGATGCCATCCACTAAATAAGCATCATCAGAAAATTTTTGGAGACTTATCATGATTTTTATAACCGCATATGCTTGGAAACAGATTATCCACTATGGTCATATTTGGAAACTTTCCAGTTACATAGATATCTCTTTTATCTCGTCAAATATTTTCTTCCATTTTATACTTTGACAAATATTCAAACTTTAGAAAGTTATTTTCCAATAGACATATCAACAATACATATAATTTTAATAAAGTTATATTTTGAAGTTATTTTTATATCCAAATACGATGTTTTTTCTAATATAGATTATTGAACCTAATGACAGGAGAGGGATATCGTTTCAAGTTAAAGTAACATATGTTCATTTACTTTGGTTCGCTCCAATATGACATTTATCCAAGCTAAACTGGATATATTATATGGTTGCTCTGTATGTCTCTCTTGCACATAAACACAATATAGGTGCTCATTACGCAATCAATTTGAATCAATTACGTGAGAGCAGTGGTATTATGCAAGTTCAGGAACGGTTATGCAAATGCACCTCTCAAGTGCAGGGTCCGGCGAGATCGAATTTGCATGGGTCGGAGGAAGGAAGCAAGATCTCGGAAGACAATAAATGGGTCCCAGCCATAGGACGCAAACCGAATATGGCACAAATCGCGGACAAGCTAAGAATAGAATATCCAGTTGTTCTGCAAATTCAAACTTGGCGCCTCAAGGCATGGATTACGATGTCCGCTGACGCAGCCGCAATACCATGGACGAGGCTCAGAGAAAGCCAACAACTATATTATACAAGGAGAAAACATATGGTAGGCGCGAGATATCATTTTCCGCTCCGTGGATCTCGAACGCGTTCGCATTTTCGTCATTATCCACGGCCGAAAAGAGACAAAAAAGGCGATCAACATTCGAATGAAACATGGCGCTTTCCAATATGACCGACGCTCGCTCGCATTGATGACATGATGCCAAGGTACATCTGCTATGGGCATAGGAAACGCCGCAACGCACCGCTCGTTGCGTTATTTTTATCCGGACCCGTTGATTTATTTATACTCGACTATGTTTTATCCCTTTTGCTCTCATCTTCCCTCTCCTCAAATCCAGATCCAAACAGAATATGAAATAAATAAATAACACGCATGCCCCTAGAGTATGCATCCTTGACCTCGGCTCATTTACACATTTTACCGTGCATTCCGCGCTTTGGCCGGAGGACCAAGCTTTCTAAAATTCGGTTCGCCCGAGGCAAATCACATACTATCGGGGCATTCCTGGGCCCTGGGCATGCGGACCAGAGTGGTGCATGTTTTAGACAACCAGAAGCACGGTGACTTCATTAATTAGGCAACCGTGCTTCCAAAATTGGCGCAAACAACAAACTGTATTACTGCTGATCTTCGCATCCTGGCATTTACAATGACGCAATCGATCGGACTCCGGCCCCAATCCGTGGGGGTTCGCTGGTATTTACCAGCGGGATGACATTTTGAAGCCAAAATGAGCATAAATCGATACTCGCCAAAAACTAATTAACCTCGTATGCAAGCATACTTCGACAAATCAACTAATATCATAATTAATATAATCCCATTCAGAGATTATTAACGTATCATGTTTACTATACCAATGATTCTAATTAAGTTAATGTAAAGATTAAAATAGAAATAAACTATTTTAGTAAACAGTTCATTTTTAATATCACAATCAAATAAACAAATATTGTCTATTATTAGAAAAAATATTATTTCAATTCATTATCAAAAGCATTTGATGATAAGCTCATACTTAATTTATTAATAATAAATGTATTTCGTTAATTCTATCTTTACAACTGAATTGTCAGCTTCATTGCATTTATGGTATTTTTGCTCAAATATAATTCAAGTTTTTCAAAATTAATATCATATTGTATGATTTTAAACACGTTTAATGATTGTAAACTTAAGTTTTGTTATAAAAAAACAATTTAGTAACAAATATATGGTAAAAATAAGATAATTTCAAATATTCGAGGAACGTGGCGACATCTGTGTTTAAAAATTAGCACCTACGTGTAACAGAGTTACACTAATATTGCAAATTATATAAATAACATAATAGTTGTTGCTTCAACATTTCCAAGATAAATTATTTATTTAAAACATCATTGTTCTACTTTTATATTAATCTTAGTAACTAAGATTATTTTAAGATGCTCTTGTCAAAGATAGAAATAGTATGTTGCTTTCCTAATAACACTAATATAGGAATTAAAATATAACGGATTCGATCTGTTTTGTCGGAAACTGGCGAAAGCAATAAATTAAGTTGAAGAGATTCGACGATCGCTAGTAAGCATAAAAAGTGGTCTGAAACAAGTGTCAAAGAGCAGTGTCACCACATGTGGTTGAATACACCATTCAGTTCGCATTCCTTTTCATTGTATAAGCGACTCGTATTGTGCATTGTGAGAACCTAGTGAGTATAAGTAAATATCTGGAATGATTGTGCCGTTCGATACCTTCTCGGATTTTCTATAAACGTAAGTAACTGCCTTCGAAGTGAATTGAGAAGCCTGCCTGAGAGATGTATTGAAGGAGCAAACGTAAATCCCGTAATATCCTTCAATAGCCCTACATTTTCCGCATATAAACTTTGCATAAACGAATATAAAAAGGTTCGAGCAAGAAATATGGAGAATATATTCGTATATTCAATAAAAATAATCGAGGAAATCCCGGGTTCTAAATTTGGAACGACTTATAGACTAAATAGTAAATACGGACTAATCTGCTCTCGCTGTATGCACATTAGCATTCCCAAAACAAACAACAGTCGATGAATTGAGTGAATGAAAATTTCGCATACCTAAACCTTACATCATCGCGACTTCTCGCATATCAATTTCTCATTGTCCTGATTCGAATTATCAGTGCACCATTTATAAACCCAACAGGAGATCGTATTCATCATAAATTACGTGTGCTTCATAATATATTCAATATCAACGTCATTACCGAAAACATCAATCATCAGACTACATACTATAGATATACGTGCAATGCCTTCGATTGATAATTGCACTCCATACGCAAGCTGACCACGTGATGTCTTCCTCGCGGTACTGCCAGGCATCCAATTCAATTAAACCATCATGAAGGATGTATATTTTCGAATCAAAGTAATTAACTATTCATACCAAGAATTACCTTCTGATTGGTTTAATCTCAATTGAAATGATCATAAATTTAGCCAAAAACTGTTACTGACAGTATTAATGTTACAATAAAAATAACGTAAAACTTAAATCTATCTTTAACATATTACCTAAGTAATTAGTTGTTTTCGAAGACGTATTCAGAATACAATTCAAATTTATTTCTTTTGAGTATTTTTAGGTGGTTTTAGATACAAGCAAACAAGAAATTAGTAACTGACAGTAACAATTATGGTCTTAAATTGATTATCAAGGAAATAGCGTTTCTTAATAAGCAAAATGATCAATAGTTAATGAGACTCTTCCATAAGGATCTTAAGTGGAAGACTTGAATTAATAATTATGAGAAATCATTGTTCAGATATAGATTTATATATAATATTAATGAGAAATGATATTTACAATATAACATTGTTTGAAGCAATGTCGCTTGTGGCCCCAGTGTTATATGTTGAAATTGGAAAAGTCAATTGAATTTTGATAAGAATTGGAGGCCTGGCGAGATCGAATTTATCATTTTGCATTGTTTATTGAACGCGAGAGTGAAAAAACTGAAAAGGTGGTACGTATGAGTATGATTTAAGGTCAAGCTGTTTCGCGTTTCTTCCTGCCATATAGAATGTTATAGAAAGCTACACGTGGTCAGCTGTCAGATGCATCGAAGAGGCAATAACTTATTTGAATGGGTAATAATTTCCGTTGTTTTTGTTTAGTCGCGATCGCAAAGCAACGCAACAATAAGCAAACAAACCTCGGCTCTGGACAATTTTAACATTATTCTCGAGGTTTATGCTCGTTCTTGCAGCGATGTTGATTATTTATTTTGCGCTTCCTGAATGGCAAGGCAGACATGTGGAAGGATGGCAATTCAAAGGTGTAGTGATCGTTACTTACCGAGGTTTGATTTCTATACGGAGCTCCGGCAGGTGGACCGGTGGCGGCGCCGTAGGGCTTCTGCGGGGGCCAAGCCTGATTGTATGATTGTTCGTAATTAGTGGGATTGTACCTTTGTATAGGGTTTGAACTTTGCAACAATTGGTTTAATGTAGGTGTCGGGCCCGTGGGCTGCGATATAGTCTGTCCCGACACGAAACGTGGAGGCGGCTGCGGGGGGAATGGACCAGGAGCTGCGGGGCCCCCGGGTCCAGGTCCAGGACCGGAGCCGCCAGGTCCGGGACCTGGCCCGCCGCCTGGCGGTACCGCACCGGGCGGTTGCTGCTGCTTTGGCCCGCCGAAGGCCTGACGATGCCCGAACATGGCCCTTTCCGTGTATCCCATGGCCCCGCCGTCGCCGCTGTTGTGCATATCCCTGCCGGCGGCGAACGTGAAGTTGTAATGAACGTCGGCGGCGCCCGGTGGCCCCTCGGATGATGATGATGTTGCGGCGGCGGCGGTGGAGGCATAACCGGATTCTGGCATGGGGGCCATGGGGTCTTCGTTGTGGCCTTGCTGTTCGGCGGTGGTGGTGGTGCTGCCGCCGCCTGCTCCTCCAACACCTCCACCTCCGCCGCCTCCTGCACCGCCACCACCGCCGGTGGCCCCTTCTTGCCTATATTGACTCATCTCCATGCAGACGTTCTTCGAACCGGTATTCTTTCCTTTGCCAACTACAACACTCGCACCGCCTCGTAGGCTACTCTTATCGGTCCCATTTTGCAACAACGAATTCCGCACATTCAGATGCTGATCCGGCTGCACTTTTTCACTATTCACGTCATTTTGTTGCTTTTCAGCCTGCGTTGCAGCCATGTTAAGAAAAACGGCTGCGATCTAGTACTGGCAATCGTTGCCAACACCCCGCGGTTATAGTCAGCAAACGGTGCTTTCCGTCATTTTTATAGCAAAATAAGCACTCACAACGGCGCAAACACATAATAATGTAGTCACTTGAGCACTATCTTTATTCTGTAAATATATAAAGCCACAAAACTTTTTGAATAATCCAAAATGATGGACACATCTGACACACAACTTAATTCCGTATCTACTCCAATAACACGAATGGAGGTTATGGGAAAAAGTACCAGATTCATACGCCACCCTATAATCCAGCAATTAGCGAATATAATCACACACCACTAATGATGTTCCTTCAGAATCTTGAACTCTTCATCCAGAGTAATCTTAGGATTGGACACACCACATTCGCAATCTGAATTTCCTCCAAGGAAGCGGCTCTCAGGCCGGTACTACTTTTTCCTGTAGTCGCATTACCACCACAATAGCGCCAACGTATGGTATCGAAACGTAAACGCGGTTATATTTTCTTCTCAGCCGCGCCAAATTCAAACTTCTGAGTCAAAACAAACCCAGCGCCACCAGATCCGAACACCAACCCCCACCACATCAGCCCTTGCAAACCATCGAGAGAGGGCGAAACCCCCGCTCATCGGACGCATTATACAACCGCAAAAGCATCTTCTTCTTTTTTCTCCAACACAAGAATCACCCCCAATCCTCCAAATCATAGTGATTTCATTATATTGCCATCATATTCTCATCCTATTTAAATATGAACATTGAAATGTGCAAATAAAACGTAAATAATGCATATCAATAAGAAAACTCCATTCATATTCTAATTAAATAACACACGCGGAACTATTTAGACGACGCGAAATAATAAACATCAACTACAGATAACAATTGCAAAATGTTCGTGCATTCTTAGGTTTCCATTCATGTCGAATTAAAGTACCGGCGGAATGTGCGCGCACTTCCTCATAAAAATAAACAACACCAGTAAATAATCAACATCAATTTGTCAATAAAACGTAAACAATAGATAATATTTACAAATTTTCCGAACGATCGGAATCTCCATTGTTGCATTATCATACAATTGTAGTAGTAAATAAATAAAAAGCAAATCCAAAGAAGTTACAATCGGCTTATCCGTAAACAAAATGCGAATGAGAATTAAACAAGAAATCCCATTGAATAAAATCCCAACACCTGATAAGGATGTTGTTGATAGTTCTTTAGATTCATATGTATATATAATAAATGTAAATAAACATATAAATTTTAATGTATATACAACGAAAAAACATATGTAAATAAAATAGTGTCGGGAGTAATCGAAGTAGTAAAAAAATCAAAACAAACGGTAGTAGTATGTTACGTAAATAAATATTTTTTAATCAATAAATTTTATTAAATGCATTAAAATAAGTAACCAAAACAGTTCCAGGTATAATAGATATATAGAAAAGATTAATAATAATAAATAGACGATTACTTTCTATCGATATAAACGTTAACGTAAATTTAGTAACAGTTTGTTCGTATAAGTTTGTTGTGTAAGTAAAAATTCGAAAAAGAAAACAACAAACAAACAGAAAACAGTACAATTTAAAATAAGTTTCTACTTGATACAGTTAAAAACAACATTATTAAAAAAATATCTTAAACCAATAGTAATAGAATTATAATTATATGTGTATTTTATAATGTTTTTCATTTTGATATGAAATATTAAGATCCGTGTCTTAAGTTGGTGTGTTAATAAATGAAAGCGGTGAAATAGGATTTTTCTGCAATACTATCATGAAGATCCGAACTCATTCATCCACTTATCATACTTATCTAAGTCATCCTTGGAGACGCTCTTATTATTTTTCTCGACGGCTTCCTCGAAATCGCGCACAGTAACGGGTAGATCGAGCTCCTCCTTGGGTAGTTGTTTTATCTGATCCGGTTTCAATCCGAAGATCTTACGACGCATCGACATCATCGATGCATCTCTGCAGACGTTTGTGATATCCGCTCCAGAATAGCCGTCCAGTTTCTTGGCAATATCAATGAGATTCACATCTGGATCCAACTTCACTTCGCGCAAGTTGATTTTTAGCAAAGCTTCCCGTCCTTCTTCGGTGGGAAGAGGAATATAAATGCGCTTCTCTAATCGACGTCTTAAAGCCTCGTCTATATCCCAAGGAAAGTTTGTGGCAGCAAGCACCATAACTACCTTACCGGGTTCATCGTTATTTGCCGTTATACCATCCATTTGCACCAGTAATTCTGATTTCACCCTGCGAGATGCTTCATGCTCGGACTCGGATCCTCTGCGAGAACAAAGCGAATCTATCTCATCTATGAAGATAGTACTGGGAGCATAAAATCTTGCCTAAAACAAAAAGGGTATAATCGCGAATCGCAATAAGTTTGTATTTTACCATCTCGAAAAGCAGCCGGACCATCTTTTCGGACTCTCCTCTATATTTTGATGTTAGTGTACTCGATGAAACATTAAAAAATGTTGTGCCACATTCAGTAGCAACAGCTTTTGCCAACATTGTTTTTCCCGTTCCTGGTGGTCCTACCATTAGAACACCCTTCCATGGCCTTCGGATGCCTTTGAAGAATTCTGGCATCCACATCGGTAAAACAACCGCCTCCTCTAGCAATCTTTTAGCTTCTTGTAAGTCTGCAATGTCGTCCCATCTAATATTAGGATTCTTCTGCACGATATCTCTCTCAAGCGTATCTGCCAATTCGCGCTCCATCCCGTGACATTCAAATTTCCTCTCCTCAGGTTCAGCTTCTCCCTTTTCCTTCTCAGTATTTTCTTCTTTCTCAGCTTTACTATTATCTTGATTACGTTCGGACTTGGACGACGACGGTCGATCCTCCTTGTTTGTGCTCTTGCCAGGTCTGTTTATTTCTTTCCTCTTCGATGCTGCCGTTGAAGAATTAGTTCTGCTATAGTTAATCGGCTTCTTGGGATCTGGTTTTTTAGTGATTCTGGACTTTGCAGGGCCATTGGTCCTAAACTTATACATATTATTCTATGTAAAAATTAACAAAAAAAAAACAAATATAACCTGTTGTTACCAAAACTGTGATCAACTGCTATGGGTGCTGGCCATACATCAGGGTCATGCAGTCCAAGTGAATCCAATGATAATAAATCACTAATATCTCTGACTGGATCATCTCTCAAAGATGGTCTCCTAGCCCCAATTGGTGTCTCTCCACTGATTTCCATCCTCCAATTGTTCAGCATGTTTTTCAGGACTTTCAGATGCTCATACTCTTCAGCTATTAACTTCTGGACCTCCTGCCATTTATTCTTCCTTCCTGCCTCAGGTATATTTAAGATTAGTCTGTTAATCATCTGTAGTACACCCTCATAATAAACCTCCGAGCTTTCATAATTCCCTAGCATCAACATCTCCCTTGCTAAAGTAACATTATCCCCAATATCTTTAACCCTTACAGCCATCACGACCATTCCGAATACAATAACTAAAAATAACAAAAATATTTTAGTAATACAGATTCCATTTTTTTTTGTTATTTTTAAAGGCCTTGATATAGAGCCTTTAAACAACCCAAGGTTTTCCTGTACTATTCCGTTTAGTGTTTACGTAAGAAATGTTACCTTTACGAGTTCTAGATGAAATTGTTGATGATTTGTTAATTTTGTTTTATTTGATATTATTAATGTTGTTCCATTTAGCACACGTCCGCGCCCTCTAACTTGACAGGACTGTCAAAAATCAAAATCCTACAGATTTTTTAGAGGTGTATTGTATGCAACCATACAATATGGAGATCATATGTTATAGCCTAGCTACAAGACATTTATTGCATGAAATCAGTTCAATTTAACGAACTAGAGTAATTACTCTTTTGATATAGGAAATTCATAGTCAGTAAAAGGTTTAGAAGCAATTGTATTTAAAATAACATTTATTTATATGTACAACAGTCACCAAAGATAACAACTTCAATAAATTATTCAAACTTAATGTCAGATGTTGAATAAAATGTTTAGGTTTTTTTTTAAGGCAATAATTAAACATATTTGAAGTACATCATTTTTGAATTACTAACAAAGATTTATAATTCATAACAATTGAACACATTAAAACTGAGTGTAAGAAATATAAATAAAGACTAAAGTAAACAATCTAATCTTTAATAAATAATTTACTAACAGCATATTTACTTTAGTTATTACTTATACCTCTACAGAGAATAGAATGAACTAAACTTGCTGATTTCCGTCAATCAGTTTATTCAGCTTTTTTGGAACCCCTCGCCTTCCAGGCAGATATTAAATTCCATGCAAAGTATGTGGAGAATGAATGAATTTGCACAGCTACTATTATAAAGCCATACCATAACAAACCATAAGGCATTCCCTGTTTAACAAAAAAAAAAACGATAGATCAATTTAAAAAAAAACAATTCAAACTTAATTATCAATCAGAATCATAACTCTGTCAAATTTTACCTGCCACATCTGAACCTCTGATAAAGCCTCCTCATCTTCTTCAGGGTCTGAAGTCAAGTATGTCCAAACATCACCAAAATAATAAATAACTGCATATAAGAGTGGCAAAAATCCGAAAGCTACTAATCCAAAAATGTAATAATTCATAGACTTAATACGATTCTTTCTAATGGCTGCTAGGCCAGAAAATGAAAACAGCAAACTGATGCACCAAAAGTATTCCCACCTTAAAGGCTACAAAAAGGAAGCATTTAATTGATACAGATCAAATCTGAAAGTGTTGGATGATGAGTGTGGAATAAAATAATGCAAGTAGAGATAGTTAAGATAGGTATATTCACCACTCACCTGTGGAATCCTCAACTCCTCAATTTCCAATATAAAAATATCGAATTTATCTAATATATCTGCAGACAACTTTGCTAGCATAACAAAGAATAGTAAATAATGGAAAAATATGCAATGCTTTAGCCTTGATTTATTTAAAGCACTAAAAATATAAGATGATTAAAAAATGTATCCAATAATGTCGCAATTGCGGACAGTTGAATAACTTCAAACAATGGGCAATTACAGTATTAAAATAAAAAGGAACAGCTTTCTGGCTGGAGCTCAACTGGTTGGTGTTGGCATATGTCAGAAATAGTTAGGTTAGCTTATTACCTGATCTGATACTGGGCAGCAACCTTTTGCCTGTAGGCATGGTCAAATCCATCAGACCCAAGAGGTATATAGTGCAATCCCTTGGAAGCCATCGTTGACGAGGGCTACGATATAACCTAATAAGAATACCCGACCGACCTGCCAGTACAAGTCCCAGAAACCAATTCACTGATTCACTGATCTGGATCAGATGTCGCTACCGTCCAGACAAAACAAAAATAATTTAACCCCACCAATGCTAGTACACCAACAAATGTTACAAACAACGTGGCAGGTGGCGCTGTAGCAAACGGACGCTAACTTAACCAGCAACAACAATTTCAAATTTAAATTATTTATACTACCTAATTGTATATATATATTTATTAATGTTTAATTGAATATAATATATACTATGGGATAAAACGTTAAGATACGCTCTTTTTGATAGCTTATTACAAGAAAATGACTGTTTACTCTTTCGATTCTGTGAATATTTATCTTTAATATGAATGTTCAATATTATTTCTTATTGGTTGCCGAGTAAATCAGAAACATGTATAGTGCTCTTTCGCCGCTTAAATTTCTTAACTTCATGTTTCTACAGCATATTTAACGAAAACAACTAACAAAATATCAATTGGTTAACAAAGAGCAATATACTTGATTATTTTCTTGAAACTCATTTTCTAGCAATAAATGGATATTTTTGGTGCATTTGGTTGTCTAAGTCTTGAAGCAGTTTACGTAATTACATCAAATGCGACGACCGTGTGATTTGCTGCTGCGAACGAGTTATACGCTTAGAAATACCCAGTATTAACAAAATGGGTGCCAAGGGAATTACCAAGAAAGATAGAAAAACGAGCGGCGGGCAAAATAGAGCACGTTTCCGCGACGGAATATTTTGGAATTAATCAATTGACCTCCAAAGTATATTAATACATTTATTTATATAACTGCCAGTATCCGACGAAATCTGATTTCCGAGGTACGTGATTCCATTTGCAGCATTCGCTCCATTTCCATTGCATTTTTGTACTGAAATCATAACGTTAATAAATCAATTCGCACCATCGATCATCTAAATTGACTGAACAAAAGCAAACAGAATAATAGTAAATAAGACTCACGTCTGTGCAACCACTTAGTATCCAACTGTCTTCGCAATTGCCCGACACGTAAACAAATTCATCAATCGCAATTAATCTGGAACTGCAAATAAATCAATCAAATGCCAGTTGTTCCGCAAAAAGATCAATTTTTACAACTAATATTACTGATTTCTTAAGTATTGATAAATAATTTTTACAAATTTTTAGTACAGTCATTATTTAATTAAATAATTTTATTTAAAATTTTGGTGTTATCAGTTAAGTAACCTCTCTCAAGATGAAATATAGGATAGGGAAACGCATTGAACTTTGTTAGTTTTAAGTTATAAATTAAACTATTTTAGGATTACATCATCAATTAAGATTATTTCTTCAATGACAAAACGAAATACAAATATAGTTATAAGGTGAAATAGTGTAGTAGTCTACATTCATTGAATCTACTTTATTTGGCGTAATATTTAAAAACTATTAATTGTTAATACTTTAATTTTAATTAACATTTATAACAAATTCATTTCCTTTCTAAAACTTTTCAATCTTCGCAATACTTTAATAATGATTGTTTCATTTTCAAAATATGTTTTCAGATGCGCATGTAAGTCTTCCAAATACTGTCATTATAGACTGTCGTTTGAAGATCTTATCTATGTTAGCTATTGATAGATGTTTAACGATTCATTTTCCAAATTTACGAAGATATCGGGTGCGCAATAGAATTTTCTGAAATACTGTCAGTATAGTTTCTCAATTGAAGATCTTTTTAACATTTTGTTTTCAAAATATTTAAAACTTTTGTGTTCGCAATATAAGTATCATGTGTGATTGATCGATCTTTATTTACAAATCTGGAGTATTGTTGGGTGAGTGATAGAAGTCTTCGCTGTACTATCAGTAATGCTTAAGGACCATGCTTATCTTTGTACTTAATATATCTTTAGGACTTTGTGTACCTTTACAATTGATAGATCTTGAACGTTTCGTTTTCTAGATTTTGAGAGATTTCGGATGCTGAGTAGTTGTAGGTATATTTTAACAGACTCATCGTTATAGATAAACGATAAGGCATAATCTTCGCTTGAGTGGTTGGCCCTGGTTCGTTGCGTAACGCAACGCGGAGAACAATGGTCGTCCGATAGCGAGCACTGTGCGCGTGTATATGTATGTGTACGTGTCCATGTATGTATGTATACCATGGATGACCTTGGGCTGGTTGATCTGCAGCCCCGTTACCAGTAAATCCGCTATGCGACTTCGAGATCCGCTAGAACCGAGCGCGCCTGCACGCGTATCCATTTATTTGTTTCCATACATTCTGTTCGAAATTTATTAGCGCTCTGATCAGGCGAGTGCGCGTGTGTTGCAGGAATTCACGTCGTTGTCGGCCAGTCGTGCCTAAATTACGGGAAAAAGCCGTCGCCGCCCGTCAGCTCTGCTCAGCTGATATTCGCACAACATTTGTACACAGTTCGCACCTGCATGGACCCATAACACATTCGAAACTGTGCGAAGAAGAAGACTCTTTGGACGACGATGCAGCAGGAGGTGATCTCCAAGAGCGAGGAGCCGGTCGCCAGCACCAGGCTCCTGGAAGGTCTCGAAGAAGACGTCGCCATGTGCCCTGATGGCGATGACCTATCGACCAGGCAGTGCGATTCGATCACTTCGAAACAAAAGAAAGGTAACGTCCATATAAAATATATCCTCTCATCGCAACACATCCTTGCACATAAAAATATGAAATTTCATTTATTTGTATTTTTTTTTTGTAAGTCGTCTTTTGATAACGTCTGCTACATGTGCGGATGACTAATACCCGCAGAAAACACAAGGAGGAAGCAGTTGCGCGACGTAAACAAGAAAATTTGAACTTGCTTGGAGGGTCAACAATCCTCGCAACACTAATTCCTTTTGCTCACAAATTCTTGTGTATATACACACAAATATTCACCCATGTATATAAACACCGCGAGTCGCTGGTAACGCTACTATAAATAGTCGATGTGACCATAAATAAATAAATCAAATTGGATTGGGACAAACGGATTGGCATGCATTATGAATGAGTAGGGTGAGTGGCCCATTAGAATAACGAATCGATAGCTTTCAAGCCGTTGTGTAATAGTGTGATGTAAGGAATTAATAATACGCGATTGATTTTAAACTGCCCTTTTATTTCCCCCAATTAAGTATGATATCGATGTTGTTAGTTTACCAGACGTCTGGGCAATGTTTTCAGACCTGGACCACGCAACAGGCATCCAGACGCCATTTCATTTCATTATGACAACAGTGTTTCAAATTTAAAATCAAAGATCTTCAATTTATCATAAATTTCAAATGTAATTAATTAGTAATAAAACAATGTACGCATTAATATGCACTGTACTACAAATATCCTTAATTATAGTAATACTATTATCAGGTTTAATGAAAGAAAAACGGGTTTCATAAGTATAAACTAATAGTTTCAATGATGTTGCATTAATGCGATCTGTAATTTACCGCAATTACTGAGAATCTACCATTATTAATTCATAACTGTAAAACTTTAAATTACCAGAGTTTTATTTTTAATAATACAGTAATTTTAAAAAACGGTAAAAAATTAATGATCTACTAGCTAAAAATAGTTCGGCTAGTTACATTTACTTATATGCTAAATTTAGAATAATTTTAATATATCAAGTAATATTTAAATATGAATTTCGGAGTTATATAATTTTGTTCTAAATTCTGAATACAACTAGATTAATAGAAAGTATACTAAACAATACAAACGAGTTTTTATTTAAGTAGTTAATAATGTTTTAACAGATGTTAATTTAAATGACTGGTTTCATTAACAATTTGTCAACAATTACCAACAGTACTTCATTAATTAATGTGTGGTTCTATATTTGTAAATTTTAATATATTAGTATGAATTAACTATAAGAAATGTAATGAACTTTGTACATCATTATGATAGTGATTGCGTAAGAAAGTTCTTTCGTAGTTGAAAAAAATGCGCATAATTCCGCGTTATGTAACATACTCAGAGATAATATTGTAAATCTATCGATTCACAAATGCTTGGAACGTTGTTTACTCGACGTTGAGTACGTTGTTTTTCATTCAATTTAAGAGTAAACAAGATATATTGCAAATTGGTAAATTCTAGAAACATAAAATGTTATCATTTGCTTAGCGTAAATAGTAAATTATATTTCGACGAAGTGCATATAACATGTGACAAATGACTGCTGTTAATTATTTGTTTTATTCCATTGTGAATGGTGGTGTTTATTGACGAAAATTGACATATTTGTAAAGTCGAAATGGAAAACTAAGGTTAATATCCTTATGCACAACCTATTCGATGTTAATCAATAAAGTTGTTATTGAAAAAAAGTGTTGTTGTTGTTGGTTAACTAAGGTTTACATCATTGCTTTGAATGTCAGGAAAATGGTTTTCCCTCTTGGATGACTTTGTACATAATAAACTCAATGTCAATATTTCTACCGTGAGAAATCATAGTCCATAAACAAAAACCATAAGTGATTCATAACACTTATATAATTTTTAAAATATAGTTTGTATAGTCAGCAAATAGTTACTTTTAAAAACTTTAACAAAATGAAGTGTATGATAATTTATGTTGTTTTTAAAAAATACAAATTATGAAATTTAAAATGTTATCAGCTCTTAATTTGAATATTAATGGATAAGAGTAATATGGAACATTGGTTGTTTTGAGTGAAGAATAAAGATTAGAAGTAATAAAGGCTTGTCCCTTGATAGTTAAATTTGCCGCCGAAAACCCATATGACGTTATTGATTACATCAAACTATAGGGCCTTCGTCATCGTGTGGAATAGCATGGAAGCAGTCGTCTGCGTTATTTTGCGACGGTCGCAACCCAAGAATTCGTTGTACGATGTCTGTGTAAGACTATTGCTCAACTGCTTCTAGACACATACACACACACACATATTGTTATGTTTTTTGTTGTTTATTATCAACGCTCATAATAAAATGTTGCTCAAGTGTCTCAAGGATTAAGATAATAAACAAAATCAAACGTGATAGTTTCGTTTAATTATAACATTTTTGTTGGTTTGTTGTAGAGGTTGCCATTTTCTTACAAAATAATGGCAAGGAGGAGATGAAAAATTGGAAACTAGTGCCCCCCGATGGGGGCTGGGGATGGTTGGTGCTCCTCGGCTCGACAATGGTGAACGTCTTAGTACCCGGAACAGTAAAATCTTTCGGTGTTCTGTTCGTGGAATTCCTGGAGGTTTTCGAGGCTACGCCGGCGGCAGCTGCCTGGATCCCAGCCCTCTGCTACTTTCTTTACAGTTCACTGGGTAATGTTTGATAAGCGTTCGCTCTAGATGACTTCTGACCATTCTATTCTGTTTTCTTTTTATATTTGCAGGTCCTGTTTCAAGTATTCTGTCATTAAAATATTCTTACCGTACTGTTACCATTTTGGGGGGCACTTGTGCGGCCCTTGGAATGATTTTAAGTTATTTTGCTAATTCAGTTGCTTTCTTATATATTAGGTATGTAATGTAGATTAGAATTGCCACTTTGCATAGGGGGATTTTCTATTATTTTGTTTTGCTTATTTTTTTATTCCAACTTCATAATCATCCATCCCCAAAGTCGTCGAAACTAATTTGGTATCCGTGTTTTTTTTCTACTTCATTTTAGTTATGGAGTTCTGGTGGGCACGGGTGCTGGACTATCCTTCCCTCCGACCGTTTACATAGTGACAAGTTACTTCGTGAAGTTACGCGGTCTTGCGAACGGATTGTGCATTTCCGGTTCGGCAATCGGTTCAATAATATTGCCGCCTATCTTGCGTATCCTCCTCGAAATTTACGACTACAGGTGACTGAAATAACCATTATCCTTTGGGGCCCATCGGTGTGATCGGGCCGCCTATTTCATTACCCTGTTTTCAGAGGTGCTGTACTTCTTATGGGTGCTGTTACCCTTAACGTATGGGTGGCCGCCCTCTTCTATGATCCCGTCGAGAAGCATATGAAAAAAGTACCGAAGACTGAGGCCGAGATGGAAGAGGCTGAGGAGATGGAAGAGCAACCTTTGAAACCGAAATTCATCATCAGCTCAGATGACACCTCATCCTTACAACTGAACCGCAACGACTCCTTCGTAGACAATAATGACATCACCAAAAATTCATTCATCCGGAGTGCTTCCAGTGTGGCTGTTCCTAACTACAGAAGCCACGGCTACGGTCGGGAGAGAAAGATCAGTGTCGGTACTAATCGTGGAGAGATGACCAGAGTTCGTTCCGGTATTGCTGTTTCAAACATGAACAGCGCTTCAGCTTTAAACTCTGTACCGGAAGTGAATAATGGATTCGAATCGCCGAGTCGTCAGACCAGCACTAGGAGAAAAGTACCTAGGAGGAGTCCATCAACTAGCTCTTTCCAATACGTTTCCACTCCTTACCATGGAAGTACCTTAACATTACAACCTGAGATGATTGCCAGTTCGTTTAGCTTGAAGTCGGTTACCAAAGAAACAAAAGAAACCGAGAAGACAAATAAGTTAGTTGATCTTTCATTACTGAAGGATCCGCTTTACTTGATTATACTTATTTCTAATTCTACCAACGCTATAGGATACACAAACTTTATAATTCTCTTGCCATCGTTTGCCATAGATTTAGGATACGGTAAAGACGCGGCCGCTTTGTTGCTTTCCATTGTAAGCGCCTTAGATCTAGTTGGAAGGATCGGGGGATCTGCACTCTCCGACTTGAACTTAATACCAAAACAATGGTATTTCATCGGTGGACTATTAATATCAGGGATATCCCTTGCTATTATGCCTTACTTCGAGACTTACGTAGCCATAAGTATATTTTGTTCCATTTTTGGACTGGCATCTGGTATATACGTAGGCGTGACTGCAGTAATCATGGCAGACATGTTAGGTACCGAAAGACTGCAATCGACATACGGAATTTCGTTGTTTGTCAATGGAATTTTGCAATTGATCGGACCACCTCTTTGTGGTCTATGGTACCAAAGTTCCAAATCCTATGTTTCACTCTTCAGTACCCTCGGCATCGTACTTATCGTGGGAGCAGCTATTTGGGGCTTCGTACCTTTTGTGAAGAGGAAGAGGGCTTCAAATTCTGACCTCGAAACATAATTTAAAGTATATATTGTCTTCCTTTGGAGAGAAAGAGAAATGACAACAAGTATTCTTTTTATTTTTTTTTTTAATTTCGACATACGTTTCACTGCGTTATTCTTCATTATATTTATGTTATCGATGTTAATTTTAGTTATAATGGTTTGTATTTTTTATTAGGAAGTAAAAGCAACAAACTTGCCATTGTATATTGTACGTCATAGTAAATATATTATACTTAACAAAATCCATATCCGCATGGGTGCTCACGAAAAAGAGAAATGATAAAAAAATAACAATGATGAGCGTAATAAGGAAAAAATTATATTTTTATAACAATTATTCTTCGTATATATTGGAAGATATTTTATATTCATTATAGTTTCTCCTATGATTTTGTACGTTTGAGATAGGTATTTCTTGTCTCTGAAAACAAACGCCATGAGATGGATGTGATAAATCAACTTGATTACCAATAAACCATATACCCACTTTGTTATAATACAAAGTATATATAATAATAAAATAGTCTTTGCATACTTCAAATAATTCCATGTCAATAAATAAAATTATTATTTTTGGTGTATTTTCTGTTTCCTTATTTCAACCTTTTATTTATATTAGCAACACTTAAAAATATTTATAAATGCAATTAACCAAACTCACTTATTGTTGCTACAAATATTATCATATGTTGTTGTAAAGACAATCCAGAGGAACAACTAGTTTAAAGTAGAGACAAAGTTCAAGAAACAGCAAACATTACGTTATCAAGTGCAGACATATAACAAAACGTCGATTAGGAAAACGTCAGTTGGTTTAAAAAAAACAAATAACATTTTGGAGACATTCAAATGTTCCGTTCAATTCAAATATGCTTTAGTAGTTATAGTAGTTTAGAATGCTGTTAAGAGAGTTTAGCAGTTATAAATATTCATGTGATAATTAATTGGGCAAAGAGCTGTATGTACACAACGAAAATAAAAAAAAAACAACACTGCGTAATGGATTTCAATTACTATTCATTTCGTTGTTTCTTTTCCATCTCAAGGTTTTCATTGTTTATTTTTGTTTTCCTCGTGTTTATTTTTGGAAGACGTTCGCACTTATACTCTTCAATGGAAAAGCACAGGCTCAGAATAACATTCATTTCATTTGTAGTTTGGTTCATCTTTGTTCTATTTACATCCCACACGAAATGAATGCTTTAAAGAAAGGCATACACTGTTGATAATACAATTAGGATTTATATTGGTAGTTGTTACGCCATCTAGGAATTAACTTCGACAATAATTTTTTAAATTACATTTTTTCAAGTCTTTAATTTTGAATAAAATAATTGAAAATTTTCGATCATTCATAAAATCTCAATTTTCTTGTATGAATATTCTTACAGATTTACATGATAATCAATTTATTACAATTTATTTAAACAAATTTTATTAATTTCTAACATTGTGTACATCTATGTTATACAATTATGTTATTTGATTCTTTATTGTTATATATTCTTCGAAGTAAATGTTATATTCACTATATAATCTTGTTTATATATAAAAGGTTATCTATATTACATTCATCATTCGCAATGTGGCAGGTGGAATAAAAAGATGAATAATTATAGAGTACGTATTATTTTCCACTGATAAACATAAGTTATTTAAAATATAAGTATTATTCATCGAATGAATAACTCTTCATACAAAAAGAAAACATAAAACTAACATAATAAAGAATTATGATTGGATAAATGAAGATCTTGATTGATATAACAGAAAGCAATAGCATCCATGCTATTGACGATTAAATATACTTATCGTTTTAGCAGAAAATATGTAATGCAATTAGAAATAATAATAAAAAGCTAGAAATGTTTCAATGATATGTTTTCAACAAATATGAATCAAAAGCTTAATCATCATCGTTGAGAGTTACAGACTTTTGTCGACAGATGGCACAAACGAGCGTGTTAATTGGTTCGATTTGAAATAACAAAATTGTTCGGAATAATTGGAATTCCGACGGTCGTGGATGGGCACGCCGATGGTTCCAGCGTGGTGGGGCGATTTGATTCGCATTGTTTATGGTAAAGTGATTGATTTGTCGACGCCGGCTAAAGAATTCGCGTCGCGCTCGCGTTAGGTGCCTCATCATCGCGGCTCAGTAAACCCATGATCATCGGCAATCTTATCGTCGACTGATTTTGCAGGAGGAGTGATACCAGGTTTCTGGGAAGAGGAGGACCATGTTGGGCAAGGAAACTGTAAGTGCCAAAGATGTACCGCGTCGTGTTATTTTCAAATCTGACATTTCGGATGACCAGGACGACGATAAGAGGCTTCCCCCCGCGCGCTAGGGGGAATCGGAATCGCCTGGCGAAGACGCTCCGTTCAATCAGAAATTAAATAAAAGGCGATTAGACTGCTGTTACATTAGATCTGTCGCCAGCAACATATCGAATTACCCACGTAAATAGAATTTGATTCCGAGCATTCGTTTCACCTCAGTCAATATTACAATATAAAGCAACAACATTTGCATCGGCGCCTTTGTCAGCCGCGGCGCGTTTTCCATTTCACGTTCTTCATCCGCTCCACGCTCGAAATATGGTAAATTCCCAATTACTTCTACTACTACTATACTATCAAAACTGCTAGTACTACAGCCACTATCCTATCGAATAAATTCTTGAGCCCTATTTTTCCATTCTGATCATCATCTCGAGCAGCCAGTTTTAAAATACCAGTGGTGCATAATCCGTGCGGCATTCCGGGCATTCGTGGTGTATATTTATCAAATATTTATTTTTGAAGATGCGTATGTATCGTCGAGGTGAGGCGCAGGTAGCGGAATTGGTTCGATTATTTTTGGATTAAAGATTAAAATAGTGTATTAGGCGAGAGAGGCGCAGGTGTATTGTTAGAATGGTTGGACAAGTCAAGTCGCACAATGAAAGTGGCGAATCCGCGAAACGCGATCCGCGGCGGTCGCGTTGTTGTCACTTTTATCTTTGTCCACAATAGGGAAACGATTTTTTTTCTGTTCCACCGCGGTTAGCAAACATAGGTGCACACGAAGAAGCATTCCGATCGGCAACTATGCATTTGGCCGAGCTGCATCTGATCTAACGCCATCATACTCTTCGTCTCCGTCATTCATCATCTTCAAAGTTATTAGATCATCATCAGCAACGGATGAGTACGAGCCCTTCTGACGCGGCAGGAGGAAGGCTTCGAGTAATTGGATTCGAGGGTGGATTATGTGCTGTCTCTGTATGCTCTGCACACGTTCGCGAACTCTTTCAGCGCCGCGCCCGCCCCCTCCTCATCATTATTAGCTAATAACATTATAATTGCCGAATTGCGCAATTGGTGCGCTGACAAGAGTGTGTATTGTAGGTGGGGAATCCCCCACCCGACCGTGTAGTCGAATTGTAGTAGCGATTGTTTTGTTGTTGTGTGCATTTCGAAAAGTTCCCAAGTTGTAAATTTGTATTATTATCATCATCATCAACATCGTAGCAGTCATACATACTTACACACTCGCATGTATACACAGATACACACATACCGACGCACTTACACAAACCTAGAGCAGACAGAGCAGTTAGAAATTGCGTTTGGTAAATGTGCGCTATCAAAATAAAAGGAAGGGATATACAGCTATACCATTTATGCAGCTTATATAATGTTTATTTCCCAAGAGTGGCAGGTAGAAAGAACATAACGGAGAGGTGTAGTTTCGTGCGTGATCTGCCAAATTAAAGGCCGTTTCCTGTGAGATCGCGTAACCTAAAATTCTAATCGCTCATCCGAGGAAAACAACATTGCCAAAAGGGACTTTGAATAGAAGGATCATACCAACATACATACACGCACGCACACACATAGTGAGAGGGAAGGCTGACGGAAGTGTCAGCAGTACTGCAAATTAAATGGGGGTGAACACTGATCTGGAAGACCTGGTATGGCAGAGCAGATGAGAACACAGAATAAGAAAAAAAATATATATATATATGCACCATTGAATGCGCGTAGCAAATATTACATAATTGCACCTGAGCTGAACAGCAGTGCAGCCCGTACCCCAAAATGAGCCAGCGGCAGCAGCCTCTAAACTCTGTCACATTGCAGGCAACCAACACAGAGTACTCGGCTACAAAATGCAGGATCACCAAGCCACCACCCCCAAAGCCTGCTGCAAATCCCATGCAGTTTGTGAAGGTGGGTCCGTGCCCCCTGTTCAAAAAAGCTGCAGAGCAGATCAAAAAAGTGGAGGAGGTCAAGCAAGCCAGACAAGAGGTGCGAGAAGAGGCCGAAGACTGGCAGCATGTAAGTCAATGCATATTCTTTATAAATTATAAACACTAGTGTAGCCTATTTATGATATTATTGCATTGCTTAATTATCATGGGATTTTGGGATTACCTTAAAGCACATGAAAATTTTAAAAAGTTTCTTTCTTGGTATTGCTATGCAAATAGTGTTATCTTGGTACATTACATTTGTCTGTAAGGTGAACAAACCAGTCTAAAACAATAAAATTTTACAGTTGATGTTGTTCCTTGCCTTAATATGCAGTAGAAGTCCAATGTTTAAAGCTATTTTTAGCTTGACAAAAAAAAAATATGTATTAAATTGTTTTCAACTAAATAATGGACATTTCCACTAGTTTTCTATATGTTTAAATTAACATTAATTTACATTTCACTTTCCAAATATTAAGAATATATAAATTTGAAAATATATATTTTTTCACAAAAAATATTCAATGCCAATGTTCAATATGTTTATAGATACAAAATAGAAGCTCTTTCTCCTCCAGTTGTATTAAAAAAAGACACATTTTTGGAAGATGAAAGATTGAACAATTAAAATTAAAATAATTCATTAAACTTAATTTGCCGTTAGTGTGGTAAATAGAACATGATTTCAATGAAACAGCAATAAATGTTATTAAGCAATTAATCCTGTCAATATTATTGTTATATTTTTACTGGTTTATTTAATTGTTTTTCTTTAACTTCTCATATGAAATTTAATGATTTCGCCAGATTATTGTGAAAATAGTCGTTTGCAAGGAACTATAAATAAATTATGCAAGTCAAGCTGTGGTTCCCTATGCAAAATGGGTTAGCCTAATAATTCAATTAAACTAAAAAAACGAACAATTAAGGGCGAGAAGAAAATACGCGGGAGCATTTTTAAAACACATTAACTTCAAATTAGAAACATAATACACAGACGAAGAAGAAAAAAAAAGGTATGATTATTAATGAAAGTAATTGAAGATGATTACTGAACACCGGGAAGTAATTAGGAGGAAAGGTCTGAAAACAAACTCTATCATTCTACTCACTAGGTTCGATACGAAATGGCGAGGCATTCTATTATTGTTGTATAACAGTCATAATTGCGATGGAATGTTCGTGATTCATTGCAATTCGTCCTTTGAAAGAGAATTTGATTATTTTGCATATAGTAATTTTTTGCTTCGTTCGTTCGTATGTTTTTAATCGAATTCTAATATTAATTCCCCGGTTTGTTTATTGTTGATACAATTCCAGTATTCTTATAAATATTATCATCGTCTGCCTTAATGTATGTTTTTGAAATGTTAACAGTAAACATGTGACTCGTTTTAATGAGAAACATCTGATAATTTGATCAACTTTGATCTGCTGTAGTTTTTATTACCATCGATCCACGATAATATTGCAATAAAAACATGTTTGCAAGAAAACAGGGCTGACCGGACAAAGAACAAATATATTAGTAAAATATTAGTTAATTACATGATTAGAAGGTAGGTAATAAGATTTTCATGGTTATTGAGTTGAAAATAATTGAACGCCTGCTAATCTCAACATAAGTGAAACATTGTTGATTACATCACCGATAATTGTCATTATCTTATCGTGTACACGCAGCGAAAGCGAATTTTAGAGATTTTTTTTTTCTTTCTAGTTTCTAGGTAAAACCTAATTAAAAGTTTAACCTTTGCAGCTTAATTTTGTATTCAAATAACTTGTTTTTGTTTCTAACTTCTTTTTTCTATTATTATTTCTCGTTCTACAATTTTTCGGACTTTCACTTTGTTCGCTTCAAATGACATGCAAATTGTCAATCAAAGCTGAGCAAATTCCCCGTAGCCAATATTGCTTGCTCGTTCAAATATTTCAAGCAAGAAAGAAAAAATCACGTCATACATATAAACGTAATCTACTTTGTACTAATATAGTATTATATTTATATGCGACTTTCACGCATACTGTATGCTCCTTTTTATGTTCACCAGCAACCTTGTGATTATTTCTATTTTTTTTTACCTAGCAGCAATTGGCTTTGAGATGAAACGTCCTTGTGATGCAATGCACCCTCCTTCGGTTTCCTTTTTTTAGTATGCGGCTTGAATACGCTTAGGAAAGAAAGACGGGGAAAAAAATAGAAATTCGAAATTGTTAATTTATTCGAGGCGCATCTCCACTGTGTGATCGGTAAAAGAAAGGAAAACTTTTTTCCTTCGACTTAATTTTATATTATATATTTTTTGATGCAAGCCTTTCTTCTCATATCCACTCTTATGCATATGTAATTTGCATTTATAATGAAATGGAAACCTTGTAATGTATTTAGAAATATTCAATTTTTTGTTGTGTTCTTGCTGAATGTATGTGCATTTTTGTGTGTTAATTATTTAGGAATGTAAATAAACAAATGCGACGTTTTGTAGAACCTTGACAATTGGAAAAGTAGCCGCAGGAAACGGCAGGAGCATATCATCGAGAGGGTGGAAGAGGTAAAGAAGTTGGAGCAGCAGGAGCACGATCGCAGCCGCAGGAAAAGCACCACCTTTCACGAGATCGTGGAGAAGAGGTAATAACAATCACACTATGTAGATTATCGTAATTGAGAAGATCGCATTCTAGGAGCCGCGGAAGACCAAAATTGAACTACCCTTTGTACGAGGATGATTCGAACGACTTGAGCGATTACGGGATAGGCAGCAGCAGTTCGAAGACAAATAGTATTAAAGATGTGGACACAGATGACAATAGCAGCGTGCTGGTGAGTGAATGGATTACGTCACAATCCGCCGATTTTTTTAATGTTATATAATATTTTAGGACGATAATCCCGGGGATTCGGCTTGCAAATATCATTCGAGTGCGTCAAACCAAAGTCAGAGCGAGGATGAGCAGAAGGAGCCGGCAGCTACCAAAAACCCATTACCAAATAGCGAGTTCAAGGTGGAACTCCCGAAACCAGAAATGGAGCAATATACGTATGAGGGGGCGATTCAGGACTACAGGTCTAGGATCCGCACGAAGATCAATATGAACAATGATGCCATCTTTGCCAAACCCTTGGACGCGAGTAGGAGCAAGGAGTTCTCTGAAGCGCAGCAGCTGTTGCCCAAAGGAAACTTATTCAAGAAGCGAGAGCTCTTCGACAAGGGATCAGTGGAGATGAGTAGCTTCGAATCGAACGCGGCGAGGAGGATCTCCGAAGACTTTGCAAATTCGCAAAGCATCAAGGAACGATTACAGAGCCTGGAGAAGTGCGTCGATCAGCCTGCGAAGGCCGAGAAGGACGCACCACCAGTGCCGGTGAAGTCCAGGGTCCAGAGTTTCATAAAACCGACAGCAGCTAAGACAGAAACCGATAATTACCTATTGGATGTTGCCAATTGCAATGCTACTAACAAACCGTTCGAAAGCAACAGCAACACCGAAGACGATATGTTTATAGACAAACTAAATATGTTCAACAAAGACCTGGATGATTTCATTAGTTATCCTCCGTCGGCGTCGTTTACTGACTTGATGACAATGTCTTCAGACCGTGAAGACAGTGGTATTCATACTTCAGATATTTCCTGCTCTATAAGTCAATCGGACGAAGCTTTCGAAGACACCGATGTCTCGCTGAACACTATACCCAAGTGCATTGAAAAACTGAGTATAGAAAATGTTTATGAGAAAGAAATGCTGTCGCCGCAGAAAGAGGCTGTTCAACCCATAGAGGAACCTCCAGCAGCTGAAAGTCCGATTGTAACCGAAGAGAAAGTAATCCATTGTCCTCTAGTTGAAAATATAGAAAAGAACATGCAGGAACAAGACAAACTATGCGAGCAAGTGGAAGAGAAAGGGAACGTCATCTACGAGAACGTCGATGTGCCCAACTATAATTATCCCTTGTACATAGATGACATTTTCGAAAAAACTATTAACCCTCCGAAAATGCAACCACCGTCGGAGAAGCCGCCGCCACCACCAATTTCTGATGTGATCCCCGACAATGTCGTCACCAGACCTAAATCTATCAAGAAGGAGATATCCATAAAGAGATCCAGCTTTTTGGGATTGGAAGAGCCTGAGTTCACTGATGATGATATTACTTTTACAAAACCACCCGATATAAACACGTTCTTGCAGAACGAGTCTCGTATGGAAAAGAGTTTGTACAAGAAAATGCAAGGTAGCATGGGTTCACTCAATACTACCGATGATGCCGATTTAAAAAGAGAATCATGGATTAGCAATAATTCATTTAGACAAACTATAGACGTAAGTTGTTTTTAAATATCTTTATGCTTGTATTGATATTCTTCTTGTAGCAACCCGAAGAAGACGAAATCACAAAGAAAGAGAGAGAAATTATTGAACTGGTCGAAAAAGAGGAGAAGTCTCGAGATAATGAGTACAGCCCAACAAAAAGTAACTACAACGTGTTGCAAGAACATCCGCACGAACACTTGGGCAGTAAGAAATTTGATATTCCTTATTTTCCAGAAGTATATTAGTGCATGTAACTGGTGGTAGCATTTTATTAACTCGACTTATTGTAGACACAATTCAAGATTGATGGTCAGGATTCCGAAGTGCTGAAGGTTGAGCACGAGTTGCTGCAGCTGGAGCGAGAAGAATTGGAGAGACAGCGAGAGAACATGGCTTTCAGAAAGAAGCTTATGCAGAACCACCACTCCTATGAAAATATTTTTGATGTTAACTACAGCGATTCCATGGAACACAGACAATCTATGCCTGAATTACAGTTGGAATTCAGGAAGGCCCCGCATGTGAAACATATCGATTATCGCAAATCCATGCCCGATATCCAACACTCGTTTAATAGGTCTTTGGTGGATTACTCCAATCCACCAAGTAGGAGCGGTCTGAAGAAACTCGCAGATCATAGGAAATCTATGTCCGATTTGCACCCGGATAAATCTTCCTTTCAAACTACGGCATCTCATCCTCCGAAAATGCCCACCAAATTTTTTAACCCACTTACCAAAGATAAAAAAGATAGATTAATGCAGTAAGTAAACAACTCGACGTTTCAACACATCAATCTAAATATTTCAATTTTAGTGTTGAAAGTGATGCATTTTTCGATAAGACACGACCTTATAGTAAGCCAACGTTGCATGCTTTAAGTGCACCACCCAAACAAAGAAGCATATCCAATGATAATTGGATCCAACCAAAAAGCAACCCAGAAGCAAAAAGCTACAATCAGCACTGGCTATTCCAGGTAAATTGGAACTATACATTATATAGTTTATGGATGTATCATATTGCGTATATTCTAGGAAGCAGAATTAAGGAGAATTTCTGAGCAAAAATCAACTTCCAGCTCCCACGAGAAACAAAAGGCACATAATAAAGGATTCATTGACTGCAATCCAGCAATAAGAATGTAAGTTCTTAGAATTTATTCATATACTAGTTTTAATGTTGTTATTCGTCTAGGCCTGATCTTCAAAAGGAATACAACCAGCATAAGTATTTGGGCCATCCGCAGACTGCGTTGTCTATGCCTTACTCAACTCCAGCGCCCGGTGTCGATGAAGGCCAGGATGTTATGTTGAGTGTCAGTGGTAAAAAGAAATGCTCTTATTGTGGTATTGAGTTAGGTACGTATTTATGTGCGCAATGTTCGGATGTAAGCTGTGAGAACAAAAATTTAACTTTGGAATAATTTGATTTAGTCCATACTGTAATGTCGGATATTAACGTGAGTTATTTCCCTTCCGTTTACATGATCACCTTTAAATCCACGGTAAAAGTACAAATGTTTCTTTTGATTTTTAGGACGAGGTGCAGCAATGATTATAGAAAGCCTTTGTCTGTTCTATCACATGGAATGTTTCAAGTGCTGCGTATGCCATATGCAATTGGGGGATGGTCTTATGGGCACCGATGTCAGAGTAAGAAATCAAAAGTTGCATTGCCATAACTGCTACTCGAGCGATGATGGCATCAAGTTCAGCTGTGTATAGAAGGATCAAACGCTGTATATAAATGCTGTATTTATATGTACAGACTTCATTTCATTTTCTTATAAGTCTCACCTAGAGACTACAACTTACATACTCTTTAGGCCACTTACCCTTTTTGAAATTTGACTGACTTTTCTACAACTTGCGCTTTACTCTTTATTACTATATTTTATTTTATTATTTTTTTGAATAAATCTGTGATTGTGTAATCATAGTAATGTAGTTGGATTGATAGGCGAGTAGTGGATCTACTATTGTTATATTTTACTAAATTTTTGTCTATTGTGGCTATTATTATTATTTATATTGAGCTGCGACTGAAAAAGTAATACTTAACTACAGTACTATTCAACAATAATCATTATGTATTTTTTTCATAACTGTTTAATAATTAGCATCCAGGTTTTAATTTATGTAATCATATGTGAAATTACTCAATTTCGTAAATTGCCTTTTCATACTGTTTCACAGATCATCGTTGCAGTGAAACTATTCTTTTGTTTTCGTTGATATTATTTTTATTTCTCTATTAATTACATCACAGTATTGATTTAGAATTTTATTTTATAATTTTGAAAATGGCTAAATTAGTTTCGTTATAAATGGTACATGGGGTTAAGTCTATCGTTTTCTCACATATGCGTTAAATTATATATTTATATATATATATATATACCAAATTGATTTGTATTTTCTTTTATTGATTTGTTAAGATATTGGAGAATATATAACTAGAGCTAATTATATAATTATTTATTTATAAATGATGTAGATTTTTTGTAACTTGTAATGTAAATTGATTGTAGTTCTAGCATTTAATATATTTTGATGTATAGAAATATTACTGTACTATAACTGTTAATAAATTTAATATAAACCTAATAACCCGTTAATACTGTGTTCGTATAGTTGCATAAATGATTGTTAAAACATATTGGCAACGAGGTGGGAGTATCGTATACTATTCACATCTCTTTTTAATACAAGCTATTGCCTATACTTTATCCAGACAGCATTTATTTAACCTCTCTGTGATAAACTCGCAAGTGTTTGAACTTTGTATTATAATTTAATATAACTAAACGCCTTAATATAATTATTACATTTAATACAAAATATGTCTTCCTTGTGCAATTTACTGAAGCAAGTCCAAAAGACATCATCGGTTTTAAAGGTAATTTATAATTATTAGTAATTAAAGGTTTTATTGATGTTTTCCTCATTCCTATTTGAAGATTCCTATTCGTAATCTGAACTTATTGGAATACCAAAGCAAACACTTGCTAAGGGAAAATGGAGTTGCTGTGCAAGACTTTTGCATGATCGATGCTTCAGGTGACAAAGAACTTGAAAAATTCAGTGAGTAACTCATGATTATGTAATTGATTTGATAACACTTGATATAAAATCGTATTTTGTAGATGTTAAAGAATACGTTATTAAAGCGCAAATCCTTGCTGGCGGCCGTGGTAAAGGCCATTTCTCAAATGGTTATAAAGGGGGTGTTAAAATTACTGAAAAGTATGTATTTTATAATGTTTTAAAATTATGTTTTTATATGAGTTTTTTAATAGGAGAGATGAAATTAAAGGGATTGTTAACAACATGCTTGGTCATAAGTTGATCACCAAACAGACCCCCAAGGATGGTATTTTGGTTAAGAAAATTATGGTTGCTGAGAGTGTGAATATCATGAGAGAAACTTATGTTTGCATCGTTTTGGATCGATCACAGAATGGTCCTGTTATCATTGCCTCCCCAGCTGGTGGTATGGACATTGAAGGTGTTGCTGAGAAAACGCCTCACTTGATCAAGAACCTTCCAATTGATATCTTTGAGGGTATCACAGATAGCATGGCAAATGACATTGCTACATTTTTGGAGTTCAAAGGTGACACAAAACCAAAAGCAGCTCATGAGATCAAGAAACTGTGGGAATTGTTCAAGAAAGTTGATGCCACTCAGATTGAAATCAACCCATTGGTGGAAACTGATGATGGAAAAGTCGTTTCAGTGGACGCCAAACTGAATTTTGATGATAACGCCAAGTTCAGGCAAAAGGACATCTTTGCAATGGATGATGAATCAGAGAGTGACCCCAGAGAGGTTGAAGCAGCTAAATACAATTTGAATTACATTGGAATGGGTGGAAACATTGGGTATGCTCTCTAAAATAGTTACTAAATATTTTGATATATAATATTTTTATTTCAGGTGCTTGGTTAATGGTGCTGGTTTAGCGATGGCCACCATGGATATCATTAAATTGTATGGAGGTGATCCAGCGAATTTCTTAGATGTTGGTGGTAGCGTAAAGGAGGACCAGGTCAAGAAAGCATTTGAATTATTAACCAAAGACAAGAAAGTCCAATCTATTTTGGTTAACGTGTTTGGTGGAATTGTGAACTGCGCCACAATTGCAAACGGCATTGTAAGTGCCTGTAAATCTATGAAATTGGAGATTCCATTAGTTGTACGTTTAGAAGGGACCAATGTTGATGAAGCAAAGAGAATTATCAAGGAATCTGGACTTCCTATCTTAGCTGCTGAGCATTTAGACGATGCCGCGCAAAAAGCAGTTAAAAGTGTACAATAATAACATACTCTATCTACTCCAGCCAATTATTTAAGTACCTCAAATAACATTTTTATACAAGATACATTTTTTATACTGTTGTTGTTGTTTCTAAAATGAGAAAATATTTACTACTGTTGAATTAGCATAATAAATATCTTAATATATAACTGTAGATTTATTATTGCAAGTGTTTTCTGGGATAATTCAAAAGAAAAATACATGCTGTGTCATACTCTTTATTTCAAAAAAATTGAACCTGCAAATTACAAATCTTGATAAATGACAAAAAATTAATTGTGAAAATGCTACATATAAAATTAGTCTTTTTTGTTTTCTGGTTTATGGATGGAAAAATCTAATCTCACATAAACAATAACCAGTAAAAATAGTGCATACAAACAAATTGCAATTAGAATTGGCTTGTGGAACAACAAGAATGGTTGCCAATCATAAACAATGTCCAGATCTTGAATGTGCTGTTCTACCAAGTTAGATTTCTTTAACCTAATCACTTGTCTACCAACTGAATCCAAGTACTTATGAGCAATATCATCAGATAATCTGTCAACAGAGTATGGGAATTTTAGTTGAACATTTGTTACACCCAATGGTAGAACAACATTTGTTTCCAACTGATCAACATGCATGTCATCAAACACATGGTCTAGTAGCCTCATTCTGAGCATGTAACTTCCTGATGGCATCTTGTATAAATATTGGTAGCTTGGGATGCTGTATCCTAAAGTGTAGGAGCTCTTCCATCCACCAAACAATGGGAATCTGGGCCTCAATTCTAATTCAATCCAATCTTTTCTAGCTCTCACCTGGGATGTAGAAATATTACCATTACTATCCCTATAGTAAATGCTGTGAGCAGCTGCAGGCAATATGGTTTTATAGGACTTGATACTGTGATGATTGCTACTGGTATCCCTTTGGTAGTCATAACGCGAGAATGGTCCTTGCAATTTAGCTCCAGTGTGGAGAATTTCAATATCTTCTTGCACAGCAATATTGCCCCAATGGGAAATCTCAATCAATCTGTCCAATTTAGTAACTCTCAAAAATGGTGAATTGTTTTCATAGTGCACAACCAATGATTCAGTTGTGAATGGTTTAATTTCACTATATGGACCATAGTTGATTGTACTATCTGACACAGAGACAGGCTTTACTTTGGTATAGCTCTCAATGTTTCTTGAGCTCAAAATAATTGAAGAAGACTGTTTCACTGTTTTATAAGGGCTATAGAAGTACACATTGCCAAAATACCTGACCAGTTGTCTTTCTTTTTGAGTAATGCTGCTTGGATATGGAACCAAAGCATTGGTGAATATGTATTCAAGAGTGATGGTGGTAGTCTTTCCTGAGTTGAGAGGTTGATTCAGTTTCACATTGAAGGTATCTTTGTAGTTCTCAATTTTGACTGGTGTTACCCTAAGCTCATCTTTAGCGGTATCCTTTAGGATCCTATACGAAAGGTTTCCTCCTTGTCCAGGCTCGAAGATTAAGTGGAAGTTGTTCACCGACTCTTTACCGGTGTTCTCTAAGGTTATAGTCGACGTTATTTTAACCAATTGAGAGGTTAAATCAATAATTCTCTCTACATGTTTATTCACTATATTGGGGTTGATTATAGGGGAACAACTCACTACAGTTAATATAGGTAATAACGTTAACAAAATTTTCACCATTTTGCCTAAACCACCAACAGATTCTTTATGGTGACTGTGTGGAGGCATTTTATTGGGAGGCTTGGAAATACAAGTGACACGCAATCTAAACGTCAATATAACTTCTCTTCAGCAGGCACTAGATGGAAGCACCATATAATATACCATTCAAAATATGAACATTTTTTCGTCAAAGTTAAATATTTTCTACGGTGGCAACCGCAAGCCCGACAACCGAAATCCCAATATTCGAAATCCCGACAGTGTCTTTTATTATTATAAATTTCTACTATAACATTTGTATGGTTGTCGAAAACAAATTAGTATAATTTTAATAATTTATTGTTCCTGTATAGAAGCAAAGGTTTATTGACTGCAGTCGTTCTACATACATATTTTATTAAGTATAAATACATTTTTATGTAACTTTTGTATGTAACGGAATTTGTAAGCATTCTGCGATATACGTATGTAATTCCAGTAAATATGCCACGTCGCTTTTATTTTAATATGCATCTGCTCATATACATAAAATTGCATATGGAAAATTTATTGGAACGTGGCTTTATGAAATGTACTTTTTTTATAAACTAAAGATAAGGAGACACCAAAATAATTACAATTAAATAGTCATTATTTTTTTTTCAGATTTTATTTTAATTAAGAAAGTAATTACAACACAAATTACACCTTGAATTTACAAAAAGGACAGTCTTACAGAATTAATTTGGGCAAACACATTTAGGTATTAGCAGAATAAATCACAGGAGCGAATAATTTTTGATCCTTTATTTAACCCAAAGTAACTTTTACAGATAATTAATAAACGTATTTCCTTATACCCAATAAGATGACATTTGTATAAATAATCAATCAATAATGGTGGTTGTAGTTCGGGGGCCAGCGTCGGGTACGTCTTTAGTTAATGAAAATAAAATTGTTGTTGTTGTCGTTCGGCCCCCTCAATATATCTCGTTACTATTTGCTTTTTTTTGTCAAGTTACAAACTTTTTTATTGGGATATAATTAGACAAAAAAACGAAATTAAATGAAAAAATATTTGTAATTACGAGTAAAAATTACACAAAACAAGTATGTAACGTTTTTTTGCTATGTTAGAATTGAATAAAAATCAAGAGAAATAATAAAATAAAAAAAAAACACGAGAAAATCTCTCAGAAAAATTCCATTTTGGTTGGTTAATTAATTAATACGTTAGAAATGATTTAGAATTTGCATCAACCATTATATCCCGGATTTTCTTTTTTTTTCTTAGTTTTCTTTTTATATTGTATATCTAGTTTCATTTTTTTTTTTGTTATACTATTTGATATCCTAAATGGTTAGGTCTAGAGTGGTACTTTCCATTACTTAGTTGTCTCTTGATATTTGGGATATCAAATAGTTTCATATACTCTTTACGTTTTTTTTTAGTTTTCATATACTTGTTTCGATTTTTATTTTATTTTTATGATTGTTTTTTTACAATTTTTTTTTTATTGATTTCTGAATAACTGTGTATAATGGAAGGAGGATTACAACATATAATATGCTCTATACGGGAATGTGGGAAATTGGGGTAACATCTAGCAAATTTAAGGATGAAACAAAAATCAATTGAGGTAGGAGATAATTACTCCTTTTTGATTGCCTTGTTAGCCTGGTGGGCTTGGAGCACGGCAACAGCCTCTTCAACTTTTGATTTCAACGACTCGTTATGTTCCAGCATATGGAGCAATTCTGAGTTATCAATTTCCAACAACATACCAGTTATCTTACCAGCAAGATCTGGGTACATACGATGAATAAGTGGGAACAAGCGTTCTCCAAGCATTTGCTTCTGGTCTGGTGGCAAGGCTTCAGCCAACATGGAGGCGGTCAACGGTTCCTGCCCTTGAATATGTACTGCCTGTTGTTGAACAGGAGCTGCACCTTGCATATTAAGACTCTGTGGTGGATTTCTCATGTTGGATGTGTATTTGTAGTTTGCTGGCCTGGCGGTATTTGGTACAACGTTTTGTCCTGTAAGTGGCCGAACTTGTATATTAGATTGATGTTGGCCAGTTATAGGTCTTGCAACACTCATATTACCACGCATAGTTCCAGATTGGTTTGTTGGCCTAGTCGCCCTGAAAGTACCTTGCATACCAGCATAGGCATTGGCTCCTCCTTGTGATGGACGCGCGGGATTCTGGGGCCATCTTGGATTGGAACGCATCGGCGGTATGTGAGTGGTGGTCGTGCCGATATACCTCTGGGGTTGAGCAGTCAACGTAGGCATGTAATAGTTTGGCGGTGCCCCTGGTTGAATGTAAGATCCCATTTGTTGCATTCTGATATTTGCCAAACGTTGCATGTATTGCGACGTCAAATGGGCTTTGCGATCTTCTTTACGCTGGGCCAAAGCAACGTACAGCGGCTTCGAACCCACGATGCGGCCGTTCATTTCAGTAACAGCTTTGGTCGCTTCTTCCGGAGAGGAGAAACAAACAAAACCGAAACCCTTGCTACGACCTTCGTCCATCATTACCTGAAATCAACAATAAAAATAATTAGAAAATATTCTTGAATGAAACAAAAAAAAGCGAGCATACCTTAGCAGACGTAATTGTACCAAAGAGCGAAAATTCCTTCCTCAATCTTTCATCATCAATGGTGTCATCCAAATTCTTAACATACAAGTTAACGCCTTGGTAGCGGTTCATACGCTCAATTTTGAGCTGCTCAAATCTACGCTTAAGTTCGAGCTGACGTTCAGCCCTCTTCTGGGCACGTCCAACGTACATTGGTTTACCTTCAACAATTTCCTTTCCATTCAACTCATTGACGGCGGCCTCGGCAGCACCGGATTCTTCAAATGCAACAAAACCGAATCCCTTTGATTTACCATCTTCTTTATTCATGATTTTGTAGCTTGTAATGTGACCAAACTTTTCAAACATTTTCTTCAATTGGTCATCACTTAAATCTTCACCAAAGTTCTTAATGTACACATTAGTGAACAGCTTAGCTTTCTCTCCCAATTCCTTTTCGCGTTCTTTACGTGGAATGAATCTACCAACGTATACCTTCCTGGCATTAAGCAACATGCCATTGACCTTTTCAATTGACTTGTTAGCTGCTTCCTCAGTTTCAAAATGAACAAAGCCGTAGCCCTTGCTGTTGCCAGTCTCATCTTGAGCAACCTTGCAACTCAAAATGTTTCCAAAGGCTGAGAATGTATCATACATAGCCTTATTATCAATGGATTTATCCAAATTCTTGATGAATACATTTCCAACTCCAGATTTACGTAGAGATGGATCACGTTGGGACCACATGATACGGATTGGACGATTCTTGATCGTATCAAAATTCATTGTATCCAATGCACGTTCGGCTGCAAATAAAAAAAAAGCAAATGTAATGCGTTCATTAAACATATTGATTGGTACTTGGCAACAAAATAGAAATTTCAAGTACAGTGGGTTGAATAGTTTCATTTTTTTTTTTTTTTTTTTTTGGTGGCCCAGTTCTTCATATGTTTTAAGAAACATGCTGTTGGGAGGTCAATGATTAAGCTATAATATGGATTGATTCTTACCATCTGCTGGTTGTTGAAAGTTCACATAAGCGTAACCCAAAGATCTTCTAGTGATGAGATCTCTGCACACGCGGATCGAGAGAACGGGACCAGCGCCCGAAAATTTCTCGAAAAGCTGTGCCTCAGTAATATCTGAGTGCAAATCCCCGACGTACAGAGACGCCATGGGATAGTTAGGAGCTTGATTCATATTTGCGACACTTACACAGTTACACTTTTTAATGGGGAATTAAACATATGAAACAGAAAATAGGTTAGATAGCATTTGTTATTTTCCGTTTTCACAGGTTTTTTCGATTTTTTTTGGGCTTTTTTCCTTAAGGATTTTTAACTTTTTTTTGTTTTTTTCTAAGAATTATTTCACTTTTTTTAAGTGGGTTGTGAAACCTGGTAAGGAACACAACCTCACATGCACACCACTACACAACGAAATGGAATGATGATCCAAAATCCTACGCTTATATACCCAGCGGAAGTGACAACGCCGTCCCTGAGTACCAATATCCCCACTACTGCATCAAAATTTTCCACAGAACTTTCCAATAAATTTTCCAGGAATTACCAAAATGCTTAAAATTACTGTACATACTTTTGCAAATGAATTTAATTATATCCGAAACAATATTGATGATTTACTGCAGTAACAACCGGATGTTCCTAATGGCGCCACATTCAAATTTTGATGACACGTGACCCGCGAGCATTTCACACATATCGATTGATCCGCTGTTTGAATTGCCATCTCGTTGTGCAATAATTATGCATCAGAGCGATGCATTTTGTTAATATTTTACTCAAATATCAACTCTTATGCCTTAAAACGTACTTCCTTCAGAGCAATTCATAAGCATAGTTATTCCATTAACAAATATTATTAATTGTTGCTATTTCATCTGAAAATTGCATAATCTTAGGAAATCATGTATCGTTATTGATTGTCTCCGATATTTGCCTTTATATGATGGATGACATATTTAATTATGCATTCCCGCCACGCGCTGCAACCCACCTGGCATCTGTTTATCGCAGGTTCCATAATTAATGAATATACCTTGGAATCGATGATTCATTTAACCATGGCTTGCTTTATTTAATTTCATCTGCAATTTTCATGAAACAAATTCATTGCGCATAAAGCAATTATCCAGAATATCCATACAATACGAATGGATGACTCAAGTGGCTTATCGCTTCTCGTACTTGAATATAGGTATATTGGGATATTTCAAATATTTATATAATATTATCAATTGATACAATGATCATTATTATGTATAATGCAATATTGAATATAATATTAGATACAATATTGAAATATTACATTTTTACAGAAACTTCGAGAGAAAAAAAACCGTTAATATCATACAAGCAAATTGGTTATTTTCTTATACATAGATCATTAATTTAAAGAAATATATAGCTTAAAATCGAATTTTACAGAGAAAAGTACAATTTGCAGAACTTAAATACCAAAACTTTCCAGCCCATTTTTCGGTATTGCCAGGTAAAGATTTTTCCTATTCGTATAGTTTTCTACCACCCCTATATAATTTTTCAGCCAATAGAATTAACTGAAAGTCGGTACTTCAAAAACCATGGTAAGTATTTGTCGTAAATACAGTTTCTGCTAAAATTCTCTCTATGTTACAACAAGCACGTATCTCATAACATTTTATTATATCTAGGATTATAACAGATTTGTTTTTCCTTTGATTCTATTGTTTTGAGTATTATTATAATTTTTAACGGTTTTTTCTTTATTATCTTTTTCAAAGATAACTAAAATTCATATCATAAAATTTTTGAAATAATATAATTGTATAAGTATAATTGAAATTTAAATAATTATCATATTTGAGTATTATCTAATTTTATATTATCTTTGCTCATAATAAAACTGAGTAAAAATCTGCAACGTTTCCGGTATAATATTAAAATTCAAGGTTATTTCGTTAGTGTGCGGTTTTATTATTGTGCGAAATGCTAAAAATAAATTCTATACAAATATTTCGGTCCCTTTTTGGTCGGACCACCTTGTCCTGTGCCATCTGGCCTAATCCTACGGAGAAAGCTCAGAAGGGTCCGTCCTTTCTCGGTATCCGAACGGTCGGCATTTCTACAGAACTCTTTTTCTTCAACCAATTAGTTCCCTATTTACAATAATGCTAATGACCTGAGATCAATGTACTTACCATTGTATTACACTAATTAAGTTCTCATTTCCTGAGTTCAAGGCATGTTATTTTTAAATATGTATACAGTATGTATACATTTCAGACATAAACATAAAAACAATATTAATGAATGTTGTCTGAAAAACAAACATACTTATATACGTATTAGTAGTGTGACTAATTACATTCAATTTTAACGAAAGTTGAAAAGATACAAATTTTAAGTTCAAATTAAATATGAATTAATGATAGCAGAAAATTTTAACGATTTAGAAATGTTGAAATTAAGTAAGTTTGTTTAGAAATAAAAAGAAATTTCTATATTTCTGAAATTAGTTCTTAGTTTTCATTTTAATTACTTTTATTACAATTTGTCATAAATTTTATTTATATACGAATAGAAGTAATATTTTAGAGAAAAAAAATCGTTTTATATAGATTTAGAAAATTAATAATATTTAAAGTTCATGTTAAATATTAAAGAATGTTGTCTGAAAAACAAACATACTTATATACGTATTAGTGGTGTGACTAATTACATTCAATTTTAACGAAAGTTGAAAAGATACAAATTTCAAGTTTAAATTAAATATGAATTAATGATAGCAGAAAATTTTAACGATTTAGAAATGTTGAAATTAAGTAAGTTTGTTTAGAAATAAAAAGAAATTTCTATATTTCTGAAATTAGTTTTTAGTTTTCATTTTAATTACTTTTGTCATAAATTTTATTTATATACGAATAGAAGTAATATTTTAGAGAAAAAAAATCGTTTTATATAGATTTAAAAAATTAATAATGATAGCAGGAAATATTAATTAATATAATAGTAATTTAGAAATGAAATTAAAAATAAAAAAGAAATTCTATATTAGTTTTCATTTTAATTACTTTATTATATTATTTCATAAATTTTATTTCTCTAGATCTTGACTTAAGCACATTTAGATAATTAATGGTATTTTTCTAATTATTATTAATTGCAAAATTAACAAAAAAATAATTTAACAAAAACTTTTTCAATAAATTTTACTAAAATTCAACATAACAAAATATGAATAACTTAGTCTATAATTCCAATAATTTTACTATTATTTTGTATTATTAACTAATTTTCAATAAAAATATCTGGCCATAATTTTTAAGTAATTAATAATAAAATTTCCCGTTTCAATGAAAAATTCAGTTATATAAATTATTAAAATTTGAGAATTATCAAATATGTGAAATTATTAATTTCAATATTTTTTTTGTTCATTGATTATTTTAATTGATTGCTTATTTTAAATGATTCATTGAAAGAAAATTAACAGGAAATGTGTTATAATTTGTGAATTTTATTATATAGAAGTGTATTTTTCTTAGTATGAATTAATAAAAAGATATGTTTATAATAACTGAGTAAGAGTAAAATATACAGGGTATGGATAAGACGGTTATATGAGTAATATTTGCATGTTGATAACGAGGGATGGATGGGGTTTCCTGATGGGTGATTACAGAGTCCTCGAGATTCTTCGTCGTGCATGCAGTGCTGCTGAGGATGGTTTAAGCTGCCGGTTGCTCTCTCGTTCAGATCTAGTAGCAATCGTACTCGAACTTTGTACTCCTCCAAATGGACGAGGCACACATGTAATATACCTGTCCAGGTAGTACCTCAGTTTTAATCCAACGAGCGCGGAGACTACACGCGAACATTCGCGCCTTTCGCCAGGCAATGATCGCGAGTGCTTCGTAGGTGCTACAAGTTTACTAACACTGGATTAACCGAAAGGACACTAATCGAATTTAAGCACAAGTAAGCAAAATTTACCAATCGAATCACATGTCGCAAACAGTTTGCGCAAATATCGCTCGCTCAAGATTTACGAAACAGTTTGCACATAATTTATTTACTTATTTTTTCGCACGCGCATTGTTATTTTAGTTTATACTATTATTATTATTATTTGTATTTCTTTATTTTTGCGAATGATCTCACCGGTTCCCATCGGCGACGATGAGGATTTGTGCAACAGTTTTGGGAATCAGCGAGTAGCTGCTGCTCTCTCTCTCTGTCTTAAATTTTTGCTGTTTTTATTGTTGAATGATTATTGTTGACCTTTTCGATTTCGTTGCTCGGCCAAACAAAGTGAACTTTCTTTATTTGATGCATGTACGTATATATGTAAATGTGCGAACAGGAATGCTCGGAGCCCGATTAAAATTCATTGATAATGTTCGTACTCGGACGAAGAGTCGGGAATAATATTAAATATCAGTTTTTCCAGAGCGACGATCGAGAATTTTAAGTAGCATTAGCAGTTTTATTGCTCCTTTGTGTCCACGTCTGGTACATTCTAGCCACTTGGACCAAACCTTAAGTACGTTTCATCAATCCAAGCAGTACTCAAAAATTTGCGCAAATACTATTAACATCTACAACTACAAACAATTATTCCTATAAGAATATTAAATAATTATAAAATTATTTAACAACAAATTTCAACAAAATATCAGTATTTAAAAATCATATTATACAATTAAAAAAAAAATCTACTTAAATTGAATATCCAAAATAAAAATATATGATTCCAATAATTTTACTATCATTTTTAACTAAATACGTAATATACGTAAATAAAATAATTCCCGTTTCAATGATTCATGTTTTTTGTTCCAATACACTTATTTTTGTCTATATATTTTATCTAAATATTATTCAAAATATATAAATAATTTCAAATAGTAAAAATTATATTAATTCATATATTACTAAAATTAATAAATTTTCTTAAATTACTGTATCTAATTGTATTGACTTATTTCGATTCAATTTATTTAGTAAGTAAGCATTAAAAAATATGTTTTCACATTAATGTATTTTGAAATAATTTATACAAAAGATTTTTAACAAACAATTTTTAACTAAATCAAACATTAAAAAAAACAATTTTAATTAATGTTCAAATTGCATATTATTGAAAATGTAATGATTTGTTGTATTTATTTAATATTAACTATAAGAAAAATTGATATGAACGTATTTCGTATTTCCTAGAAACGAATATGTATCCGCTTTTCTATAAATAGCCTACGTAATAAAGATTCCCGGTGAAATGAGGGACAAAACAATAAGATCTTGAGATATATACGCAATACTTGGTGGAAAATATTGTTCTGTGAAAAATTGTTGTTCGAGAGTTTCATTATAAATTAATAAAATATTGAAATAAAATATTCGTGTAGAAAGTAAAATTGTATATGATTGAATTAAAACTAGCAGTAAATGAAT